GCCCGTACCCGTACCCGTACCGGTCCCAGCGAAGGTACCGAAACAGGATAAGCGAGTTCTGTTGCGGATGAAGGTAATTAATAATGTAATTTTTTATTGATATTCTATGTAGGTCTTATCCGCGCTAATATTCATATTATCGTCGTTGCAAATTTGAAATCTCCTATGCGGATAAATTTAGTTTAGGAGAAAATATAATTTACTGGTGGTAGGACCTCTTGTGAGTTACTGGTGGCAGGGCTTTTTGTGAGTCCGCACGGGTAGGTACCACCACCCGCCTTCCGCCGTGAAGCTGTAATGCGTTTCGGTTTGAAGGGTGGGGCAGCCGTTGTAACTATACTGAGACCGTAGAACAAAAATGCAAATATTTTTTGAGCACATACGATACTTTGATCTACAATAAAATGCAAACCGACACTTGGGATTTTTTAAGATTAACGCGTAATAAAGTGAAATATTGAGATAACTATAATTGGGACTTTAGAACTTATATCTCAAGGTGGATGGCGCATTTACATTGTGGATGTCTATGAGCTCCAGTAACCACTTAACACCAGGTGGGCTGTGAGCTCGTCCACCCATCTAAGCTATAAAAAAAATATATGCACATGTAGTTTTTGCTGAGTATTCAAAATAACTTTCATTATAATATATGAAAACACAATTTTAGTCCGAAATATCACATAGGAGATTTTAAATTTGTGACGATGTAAATATGTCATTAATTGTTTGATTGTACTCACAAAAATTAGTTATTTACCATGAATATTTTCTGAAAATAATCCAACAGACCAGAAAACTAATGAACATTTCCTTCGCACAGGCGGCGGGCGGGACGGAGGGGGAACGCGTGTGGAGCGTATCGGGGGGTGCGGGGGGTCAGGGGACGGCATCGGCTCAGGGGGCGGCGGGGGGACAGGGGGCGGTGCGCGGGGGACAGGGGGGAGCCGCCCTGCCGCAGTCACTTGCCCTACTCAACGGCCGGAGGTTCATCGTAGTGCCAAGGACCCTGTACCCGTCTGTATAAATGTACTTATTGCACACTTTGGATATATTTTACTGGTGGTAGGACCTCTTGTGAGTCCGCGTGGGTAGGTTATGGAATGTCCGGCTATGGAATGAGCTCCCCTCCACGGTGTTTCCCGAGCGCTATGACATGTCCTTCTTCAAATGAGGCTTGTGGAGAGTATTAAGCGGTAGGCAGCGGCTTGGTTCTGCTCCTGGCATTGCTGAAGTCCATGGGCGACGGTAACCACTCACCATCAGGTGGACCGTATGCTCGTCTGCCTAAAAAAAAAGGTACCACCGCTCCGCCTATTTCTGCCGTGAAGCAGTAATGCGTTTCGGTTTGAAGGGCGGGGCAGCCGTTGTAACTATACTGAGACCTTAGAACTCATACCTCAAGGTGTGTGGCGCATTTACGTCGTAAATGGCTATGGGTTCCAGTAACCACTTAACACTAGGTGGGCTGTGAGCTCGTTCACCCAACTAAGCAATAAAAAAAAAATTAAGCCACAAGACGGAGATAGCGCCAAGGCTCTGTTTTAATATTCTGCGTCTTAACGCGAAGGGCTAAATTAGAAAATTGATTGCCTCATTATTTTTGTTATTGCTTCAGACTTATGGCTAATATTGAGAACTATATAGATTGTGAAATTAAAACTTCGCTGCGGTAACATACGAGATTACGGTAGGCAGCGGCTTGGCTCTGCCCCGGGCATTGCTGAAGTCCATGGGCGACGGTAACCGCTCACCAACATGTGGGCCGTATGCTCGTCTGCTTACAAGCGCAATAAAAAAAAAAAACTTAATGATTTGTTGTATTTTTTTTTTCTTTTCAGATGAAAAAAAGCAATAGAATCTCCTTTCAGAATATGAGACGGGCTCGTTTCTGTATCAACGGATCAAACAGCCTGAAAAATGGACGTTGAATTTGTCAAATGAAACGCTACAAACGAAAGTGGCCTTTAACGACTTAGTTTAAGACATATAATCGCATATCTTAGTTTTAATTAAACACTTGTATGTTGTTTTTTTTTTGTTCAGTAATGACGTTATGCCTTTGACGTCGACAATTACCCGAATTATGATAAATATGAAATTAAATTAGCGGTAGGCAGCGGCTTGGCTCTGCCCTTGGCATTGCTGAAGTCCATGGGCGACGGTAACCACTCACCATCAGGTGGGCCGTATGCTCGTCTGACTACAAGGGCAACAAAAAAAAAAGAAAAAAAAATTGAAATTAAAGGAGTCACCTTATTGCCTTATTGACTTTTATTTCGCGCGTTTTGAGGTCGCCACGTCTCAATGCATGATGTGATTTTATCATTAACTTCTAAGTAAACGCTTCTGTCGCTGTTATCGTCAGATGTCGATCGAATGTAACAGAAAATATTAATTTGATTAAAAAAAACATGCAATATTTATTTGTTGATTGATTTCGTGAAAACCGATCCTCAAACATCAAAAGGTAATGTATTTATTGTACAGTTCGTTTTGTAACTCAATATTTTGGTAAGTATTTTTTTTACTTTAGTATATTTAATTAATTAATTTTTTTAGTTGATTTTTAATATAAGGGTTAATGCAGCTGTTTAGTTGAACTTTTCTCAAGTTTTACAATGTCGTCAGAAATTTAAGTATTTTATTTCATTAATATTATGCATGTTTCTTGTGGCTTCCTTTGACTAACAATAGACAATCGACTGACAATAATAAGGCAAACTAAATAGTGACTTATAAAGATCGTTATTAAGTTGAAACTATTAATGTAACAGTTAGTGTATAGTCTGTGGTAAGTCTATTGCGCAATTGACCACTAATGACGTCACGTGGTGATGTTGAATCCTTTAAATAATAACGGTCCGGTTCTCTATTGTTTTCTGATGCATTTGACATAGAGTGCCCACTGATTTTCTCGCCGGATCTTCTCAGTGGGTCGCGTTTCCGATCTGGTGGTAGATTCTGCGAAGCACTGCTCTTGCTAGGGTTCGTGTTAGCAACGTCGTCAGGTTTGAGCCCCGTGAGCTCACCTAGTAGTTAAGGTTCCGCTGATATAGCCTCTCAAGGCTATCAGCTTAGGTAGGAAGAAACAGTGACATAGACGAAGCGATTGAAAGTCGATAGGTGAAGTATAATAGTGTTTCTATAACGGACTATTAAAATCTAGACGTTATAAACAGAAGGGTCTAATCTCTAAAGAATTTGAGAAATTATTCGTTCTAATGTATAGTTATTATTATGATGATGATGATGATGATGATGATGAATGTGTACATAGTATCCTTGAACATACTTAAAATTAACAAAACCAATTAAATAAAACAAGGGTGCGTGTACTTATGTACGCGCGTAAGAAGTTATATACATATGATTTTTATTAGATTTATTTCTTTTTCTTTTTAAATATTAAATAATTAATAATAAATATTTAACGTTAATAATTTAATAATATTTAGTATGAATTATATTAAATAATAATTTTGTCATTTATATTACTAAAAAATTAACGCTAATAACACTTTTTTTTACGAGTGTACATGCGCGAAAGTTCACCTGCGGCTATATTCAGACTCGCCAAGTTACGTCGGTCGTATTGTAATGAGCGATTTAGTGGGCAACTTCATTCTGTTAATTTTGTGTCTCGGTGCGCACGCATCGTAAAATTTCACTCTCATCAATTTTTCATAACGCGCCTAAAGAAGTATAACTTCAAAAAGATACATTTATTATATATATTATTATAAACGCGACTTTTTTTTTGCTTAAAATTTGTCGAACATAGGCTTAATGAGGTCGAGATTCCATAAAAGGATTTTTATGAAAGTCTCAATAAAAGTTAGTTTGAAGGAAAAATTAAAATCTTTTTTTTTAAACGCCTCACACCCCAACATAACAATAGATTTTCGGTTTTGGGGTGCTAAAGCGAATCACATCTTGTTAAATGTTTTAATTAACCTCATCAGGGACGAATCTTTTAAAGTACAATAAATATTATTTTAGTGATTTAATCTTTATATATTTGAAAATGATTGAATAAGTAAAGAAAAATATAAACATAAGGGATATTCATTTTAAAAAAAATATGCGAACATATGTGGCCATTTAGAGTAGAATATAATATATATAAAATATTATAAACAAAAAAAAATATGTACATATGTGTATAGTTGCAAATTACAAGCACGCGTGGCCTTTATTTGTAGTTGTAATCGTAAATACATATTTTCGTTAGTGTGTGTACCCGATGGAGCCGTCAGTAGCTACATTAGCTACCTACTTCTAGTCTGTATTGATGCGTGTATATATTTTTCCTACCTAAGCTAATGCCTTGAGAGGCTATTTCAGCGTAACCTTAACTAGTAGGTGAGCTCACGGGGCTCAAACCGGAGTGATGCTAATACTGACCCTACCAAGAGCAGTGCTTCGCAGAATCTACCACCGGATCGGAAACGCGACCCACTGAGAAGATCCGGCGAGAAACTCAGTGGGCTGTGTCTATGGGTTGAGGACGGTGACCGGATGGTGATGCGTATACAGATTGGTCACTCAAACAACTAAGGGCAGCGCGCAGTCATACTTTGCAACAACTTACCAATGTCCCTGAAGAGGATGATTACGTCAAGTTACAAATTGTGAACTGCCGTTTATAAAAATAAATAATAGTTTAAAAAAACTAACAAGCTTTTTTTTTACAATAAAATAATTTTTTCTTACACTATTTTTAATACAAATTTATTTTCTATTTTTTTATTTGAATTTTCTATAAAAGCGTATTTTATTAGTTTTTTTAAACTATTATTTATTTTTAATTTTTTTGTTGAATTTCAATATTTTTTTTAATATTGGATTGTCGTCGGTCCTTAATAAGTATACCAAATTTCGAGTTAATCCGTCGTTTTGAAGGGGGTCAAAATCATGTTCAAAGATTCCGTTACACACTAACATACATACGTCTGAAGCTAATAAAAGCGTATTAAAATCGTTGTGCGCTGCGGCAGCGAGGACAAGCGACGCGGCCGCCTGGCCAACGGCGCGCCGCCACCCGCGCCCGCCGCCGCGCCCCCCAACTCCCCGCGCCGCCGCCGCGCCCGCGCTGACGTCACGCTCGACGCCGACCACTTCGCGCCCTTCTACAGCGCCGCGCAGGAGAGGAACTACAATGTCGTCGTGCAGGTATGTGTAGTGTGTGGATTGTTCGCAGCTCTAGTATTGGCCATAATATACAGCAACAATATTTTGTGTAGGTATCTAAAATTGGTTGTGAGGTAGAGAACGCTTTTAGAAATAAAATCGCCCATAATTATCATCGGCCTGTTGATTATTATTATTATTTTTTATTGCTTAAGTGGGTGGACGAGCTCACAGCCCACCTAGTGTTAAGTGGTTACTGGAGCCCATGAGATATAAGTTCTAAGGTCTCTAAGTATATGTAGTTACAACGGCTACCCCACCCTTCAAACCGAAACGCATTACTGCTTCACGGAAGAAATAGGCAGGGTGGTGCTATCTACCCGCGCGGACTCACAAGAGGTCCTACCACCAGTGGTTTTATTTATCTGTCTGATATCGTATTCGAGAGTTTTAGATCAGTTTTGAAGCAAATAAAGCGAGTTTAATGTTGGTTTAGTAACGTGATGTTTGTTGTCGAACAGATTTTCCAGTACTTGGGCATGCGTGACCTGGCCCGCTGCGCCCGCGTGTGCAAGCTGTGGAGGCAGCTGGCCGCCGCGCCCGCGCTCTGGAGGCACGTCCGCATGAAGAACTCGCACGTGAGTCTCTCCACCCACCAGGCCCCCGCCGGCCGAGGGTGCCTCGACATGTCCGTACTCAGATGTCGCGCTGGTGGATTCCACCACTAAGCGGAGGAGTCGTGTTTGTGGCTCTGAAGAGTCATTCATCTATACTAATAATATTATAAAGAGGAAAGATTTGTTTCTTTGTTTGTTTGTCTTGAATAAGCTTCGAAACTACTGAATCGATATGAAAAATTCTTTCACTGCTTGGAAGCTACACTATTCCCGAGTGACATAGGCTTTTATAGATAATCCAAATAAAGAATAGAAAATAAATTTTAATAAATTTGAGTTAATAATAATGTAAGAAAAAATGATTTTATTGTAAAAAAGCGTGGGGTGCTTTTCAGGGTATTATCAAAATACCCCTTCTACTCATATTTGTTCATAAAATATTTATAACTACTGATACCATGCACCCCACGTTTTTTTACAATAATATCATTTTTTTCTTACACTATTTTTAATTCAAATTTATCAAAATCTATTTTGTAGTTGGGTTTTCTACAAAAGCGAATTTTGGTAGTTTTTTTAAACTATTATTTTATTTTTTATTTTTTTGTTGATTTTCAATTTTTTTTAGATTGAATTGTCATCGGTCCTTAATAAGTATACCACATTTCGATTTAATACGACGTTTTGAAGGGGGTCAAAATAATGTTCAAAGATTTCGTTACATACTAACATACATACGCCTGAAGCTAATAAAAGTGTATTAAAAAGAATGGTTACATAATTTATTTATATGTATAGATTAATACAAATTTGTTATTTGTGTGCAGGTGAGCGACTGGGCCGGGCTGTGCGCGGCGCTCAAGCGCAACGGGACCAAGCGGCTGGACCTGCGGAAGATGCTGTTGCCGCAGAACGACGCGGAGTTCTGGGACCAGTTCGCCGAGCATATCGGCACCGTCGACACCATAGAGCGGTGCGTGCCCCTGCTGTTGTCCATTGACCGACAATCACACCTACGCAAAGATGGTGTTTTACTGGTGGTAGGACGTATTGTGAGACCGCGCGGGTGGGTACCACCACCCCGCCTATTTCTGCCGTGAAGCAGTAACGCGTTTCGGTTTGAAGGGCGGGGCAGCCGTTGTGACTATACTGCGACCTTAGAACTCATATCTCAAGATAGATGTCTATGGGCTCCTGTAACCACTGAACATCAGGTGGGCTGTGAGCTCGTCCACCTATTAAAGCAATAAAAAAAAAGGTGCAGGTAACTATGAGCGTTGCGTTGCAGGATCGAGCTGTGCCGGTGCCCGGCGCGCGCGGTGGAGGCGGTGTGCCGCGCGGTGCCCGGGCTGCGCTCGCTGGCCGCGCTGGCCATCCGGGACGCGCTGCTGGACCCCGCGCCGCTGGCCGCGCTGTCCCGCCTGCACGAGCTGCGCCTCAAGAGCATGACCGGGCTCAGCCTCACGCGCGACCTGTCCCACCTCGCCGCGCTCACCAGCCTGCAGCACCTCAGCCTCACCTCCATTAAGGTACCGCATACCTTCCAACCTTAATCTCTCTTAAACATTAATCTCTTTTTTGTTGTATTTATTTTGCGGTAGGCAGTGGCTTGACTCTGCCCCGGGCATTGCTGAAGTCCATGGGCGACGGTAACCACTCACCATCAGGTGGGTCGTGTGCTCGTCTGCCTACAAGGGCAATAAAAAAAAAATTACATTAGCAATCAGTTATGTACATCGATTTGTCAGTTACAGTGCTTGTTACAGGCGCTGGGTTGGTGCGCTTGCGAAGTGGTGTCCGCGCTGCCGGCACTGGAGTCGCTGGAGCTGGGCGAGTGCACGTTCCGCGCAGACTTCCCGGCCGCGCTGAGCCGCCTCACCCGCCTGCGACGGCTGCGGCTGGAGCGGGGCACGGCACACGCTGCCTCGCCGCCCACGCTACGGGCACTGGCCGCGCTGCCTCATCTCACCAGCCTTGAGCTGGTCAATGTCGATGTCAAGGTAGCATGAGCAATATACCAACAAATGCATACAATACCATTATCAAACTGTGGGGATTATTCTTAGAAACGGCATGTAATATTGTTACGCGCTGGAGTTCAGGATAAATAAAATTTCACCAAAGTACAACTAAAAACTGTATTTCAATACTTAGAACACTTAAAACACTCAACAAATACTTTAAAACTCTCAATTCGCTTGTTCCGCTTCGCTTCAGGTGATTCGTTCGCTGTTTCGCTTCGAGTAGTTCGGATTACTGACTGGCTGCGTGCCATCCCTGCAACGCTTTCATAATCGATAACTCATCCCTAGAATTATCGAGAATATTCCACACATCTCCAGTAGTAGTTTCCGCTATCTGTCAATAGATGGCGTTGTACTTCTCGAGTGCTCTAGGTCCTGTGATATTCGTTCCACTATTCGGTGTTAGATGGCGTTACTCTCATCGGCGTAACAATATTTTCTTCACTGTTTACTTGTAGTAATTAGTGGCATTGAATAATAAAATATCTTTTATTTTGAAGTCTGGCAATAGTATTGAGTTGGTAACAAAATAAATATTCCTCGGATCGACACCGGAAATTACCATGAGCAATAACACAATATGTAAATCATACCGCTGCAATTGTCAAACTCGCGGACCACAGTGTGTACAAAAAATCGAATCTGTAAAATATGCCAAACAATTTGTATATTACCTTATCTAAAACAAGAGGTGCCCCGCGTACAAGGTATTAAGTATAGTTACAACGGCCGCCCCGCCCTTCAAACCGAAACGCATTACTGCCTCACGACAAAAGTAGGCGGGGTGGTGGTACCTACCCGCGCGGGCTCACAAGAGTTCCTACCACCAGTTCCAGTTTATACAATATCTAAATTAACTCACCCGATATTGCACGATTGAATAACAAACATCCAAACATAAAATTCTCATTGCCAGTGTTTGATGACTAAATTGTCCTCAGGTCGGCTTCGACGACGCCCTGGCTGAGTGCAAAAACATTCAGAGGCTGCTGATAATACCCACGTACGTCTCACAGTCAGCGACCACCAATAAACAGGTCAAAACCCTATGCTATTTTTACTGTTGATTTATTATGTGTATGTAAGTATATTAGTATGTATTGTATGTAAGTATGTATATTGGTATATAAATCAGTTGGTTATATATTCCATATTATATTTAAACGGTATATACATATCTGTATACTGTATGTATATATTTTCTATAATAATGTATTGTCTATAATACAACGCAACATACCTGCTATATTTTTACAGAATTTCTCAGAATTTTCCAGAATTTCTGTAAATTAAACGGTTGTTTGGAAGAGATCGCTTTTAGCGATAAAACCGCTTGTTGTACAAATGTATCTGCTTTTTTACTGTTCTTTGAATGTAAATTGTGTTTTGGTGTGCAATAAGGAGTATTCTCTCTCTCTCTTTCTCTCTATTTATAAATATTTATATTTACAAAATTGTTTACATGTTGCTTTTGTAATTATTTGCTCTATAGGTATGAACGATAAAGTGACAACATTTTCAATGATACTTAATAATTGTCCTGTCACGAAATTTTACAATTGTAGTTGATTTTGTCGATCCAATTATGTGGCCATCGATTTGATTTGATAATGACAAGCTTTATAAGTCATTTCGCTGAGTTATTTTATATGCCAAGAAGTCTTGTTAAACATTGATTGATTGATTGATGATTGATGATGGTTGATGGTTGATGATTATTAAGAAACAAAATATTCTGAATTAATAATTGAAGACATGAGTCAAACTTTTGTTACTTGTAGTTTTTCTTCATACTTAACTCTTTCATCACATACAATTATTTTTAAATAGCCTTTAAACCTGGAGTTTTAAGGTCTAATATGGTTTATATAGGCACATAATAATTCATTCAATGTAAAAACTCAAAAATCTTAATAAAACCCCTTCATCCACTAATGTCTTCAGCCTAGAGTAACTTCTGATCGTTAGTTTAATAGTATATATATAGTATGGCACACTTCATACATTTAGTGATTGAAACATTTAGTGGATATATCCGTTTGATACAGGTGCTGAGCGGCGTGCTGAGACTGAAGGAGACGCTGACGCACCTGATGTGGGGGGTGACCATCGAGCTGCTCCGCGTCACGGAGCTGTTCATCGACCAGTGCAAGCAGGCCGGGGACGCCAAGCGCCGCGAGCTGGGCGAGTGCATCCCCGTGCTCAAGCCCGTGCCCGGCTGCCGCCTGCCCCCCGACCACCCGCACGTCGCCGGGCCCCCGCAGGTACCCCACCACTACCTATTCACTTTACTCACTCTCCAACTACTCAACTATTTTTTTTATTGCCCTCGTAGGCAGACGAGCATACGGCCCACCTGATGGTGAGTGGTTACCGTCGCCCGTTCGCTTCAGCAATGCCAGGGGCAGAGCCAAGCCGCTCCCTACCAAACAAACTAGTCACTGAACCAAGTCTTACCCTTATCTCCATTAAATAAGTAATGGCATTCAAGTCTGAAGATAGTTTTCACTGAACAAACTCTTACCCTTATCTCCATTAATTAACGAAGAAGCATTCAACAGTCTCAAGATAATCTTGTGTGTCTGCACGGGTAAGATGCCAGGGTAGGGTATTTAAGACAATTTTTTGTTAGGTTTTAAAACTAGCTGTGCCCGTAATTTAGTCTGCCGGGAATTTAACAAAATATAAGTAGCTTAAGTTACTGATTATTAAAATCGGTTCACTTTTTTCCCCTACCTATTCGCTGGTAGCCTAAGGGGCTATTCCACCTTCTTGCAGAGGGGTAGGTGAGCTCACGGTTCAACCTAAGAGAATTTGCTAACACTAGCCCTAGCATAGCAGTGCTTGGCAGAATCTGGTGGTAGGACCTCTCGTGAGTCCGCGCGGGTAGGTACCGCCGCCCTGCCTATTTCTGAGGTGAAGCAGTAATGCGTTTCGGCTTGAAGGGCGGGGCAGCCGTTGTAACTATACTAAGACCTTAGAATCCATATCTCAAGGTGGGTGGTGGCATTTGCGTTGTAGATGTCTATGGGCTCGAGTAACCACTTAACACCAGATGGGCTGTGAGCTCGTCGATCCATCTAAGCAATAAAGAAGATACGATTTTCTGACGGAAACATAATAGCAAGAGCAATTGCTTATGGAACCTGGAATACTGAGACAAGGATCTGAGTTAGAAACCACTAGACATTGGAAAAGATCAAATATTTGTCGTTTCAACAAGTTCAGTGGGCCGCGAGTTTGTCCATCTATTTAGTACAATAAAAACATAGTGGACCCGAACGAAATACAGTTAAGACATGTTTTTTTTTTTTGTAATGCCTAGCAGTTCTATATAATAGAATATAAATCAGTAATGTATGTTATAATAGTTATTGTTCCTTGTTTTCTGAAAGGGGTAACTTTCTCATGAATATTATATAGCATATATGTATACCTATATAAAAATGAATTGCTGTTCGTTAGTCTCGCTAAAACTTGAGAACGGCTGGATCGATTTGGCTAATTTTGGTCTTGAATTATTTTTGGAAGTCCATAGAAGGTTTAAAAGGTAGATAAATATGAAAATGCTCGGAATTAAATAAAAATAACAATTTTGTTTTTCCTTTGACGTGTCCCCCGTCGGACGGATTCCTTTTGTTTGTTTTAAATTTATTTTAGACAAAAGCTTAGATCTTTTGTTTATCGATTGAGTCAGCTAGTAGCATAATAATAATAAGATATGTCTTCGCAGGTGGAGATCCTCCCGCTGCCGACTCTCCAGCGGCTGCTGTCGGCACAGCTGCCGAACACGAAGCTGAAGCTACTCCGCATCCCGTTCCACGCGACCTGGCGCCAGTCGCTCGCCGACTTCCAGTAGCACCAGGCCCCCGCGTCCGGTGGGAGGCCGCTCAACGGTGCATATTCCAACCTGGACGAGGAACACAACGGCGGGCCGTTATGACGAAGTGCCAAGGTCAGACTTTAAAAATTTAGTGGCATTGTCTGTGATTCGACATAAATAACGTTTTAGTCTGAGCATAGACAACGATAAGTTTCTACGGAGCCTCGAGAGCTAGTGTCGGAAGTGACAGCTGTCAGTGATTCGCTTTGTATCCGGAGCATGGACGAGGAAATCAACTTCCATACAGCCTTGAGAATTTGTAAGGAGTGACGTCATATCAATGGACTCTTCCCGATTCGGTACTTAAACCATTACTTCTGGGCCACGTCCAGAACTGTTATGAGTCACGTTGACAATAAATACGTTATAGAAATATTATCATGGATTATGTCGCGACGTGCCAGTTTTTTTGGACGATTTCTCAATCAATATTCTGGCTGTAGTAAACAAATATTGTATTTGTTTTGTTTTAAATTTGAAACGATATTTTAATTTGTACAAGACGGAATGATACTATCCGTGTTTAACATGTCTACTAAAAACGTAATTCATATGAAAATAATTCAATATATAAATTCGAACACTCTTAGAGTAAAAAAATAATATGAATTAACAAACTTTAAAGATGTATACATAACATATAGATTTTTAAAGTACACAATTGATATAGAAAAAAATATATGTTACGTTAAGTATGTAATGTGTAAATATTATAATTTAATATATATATAAATATATACAATTAGATTTTAAAACGATCAGTGCCTCTAATTAATATGATGTGTCACCTCAAAATGAGCCTTGCGTACTAAAGTATAATGTCTACAATAGAATGTACGTTGTGATTAATACTATGGACAGTTTATTCATTGAAATATGATTGTAATTTTATTTCAAATTACATAACAGCGAGGAGAGTCATTGTTTGCTTAGAAATGGCTATTAGGCTTAATTTACAGTATACCGTATTCGTGTTACAATCAGGGACATTTAAATAATGCTTTATAACTTTATTAGTTGTTCATTAAAATTTACATGGCTCTCTGATTTTCTCACAAGGATGTCGAGAAGTAATCTATTTTGATTGCTCGATTTCTTGTGTAATAAGGTTTATTTTGGCACGCACATACATATCGTTCATATGTGATGATACATGTATTCATGAGCTTGACAATCAAGCTAACGAACGAACATCAAGCACTGATGTTTGTCCAGCATAAATGTGTTATAAAAATTACTCTCGAGTTGTATTTTTTAAAAAGTTGTTCAGGTTTTCCAGTAGGTGGATTATGTTTGCTGTTTGTTATATAATTATAATATATAATACATTTTTCTTCCATCATATAAATCTTCTATTCTTCTTTGTTCTATTATGTACACCTTTTTCATTATAAAAAAAAACTGGGGAATTGTTCAAAGTGATATCGTCAATGATACTTTTTACTATTGCATCACATGTCACCGGAGCATTGTTTACTAGCTGATGCCAATGCGGTGATCTAAAGTGCATTGCCAGAGATCATTGTTCCCACTTACCTTGCGGCTCTGGCATGAGCTTCCTTCGACGTTGTTTCCGGACTGTTAGACCTGTCCTTTTTCAAGCTTTCAAAAGTCCCTGAGCCGCAGGCGGCTGCCTGTCTGTAGCTTTAATCCTTTGAATCCAGAGTCTACACTTATTGGACACACAGCTTAGTCTTACATTAGTCTATGGACCGCAAAGGTTAAGATCATGGATAAGCATGAACAACAGCTTATCGCATGAGTCGTATGTTCATCTGCATCCTAAGAAACTAAAACAAATATAGTTTGTTTCTTGCTCTATACATGTCAATGTTATTTTATGTCTTACTGTAAACCCTGTTGGCAATCCTTAAATAAATAAATAAATAGTTCAACATAATCCGCCTCTGTACTATGAATGATGTCGCTGAGTATATAATTGAAATAATTATGTTGCAATATATCCAGTAAATGTGTATATTATTATTTTTTATTATCATTATTATAACACGCACGGTCGAGTACAACCCTCTTTAAATATTATAATTATTTTCGTTTCGTGTAAAGAGATATGTAAAATGTTGGTTATTTTAGTTTAGTGTTTGTTCGTTGTATTTTCGAGTTTATTTGTGTGATACTTGATTTCAAAGAACCGTCTATTAGTTTCCTACGATCGTTTGAAACCGAGTCGCAATTCTTTTGCTGTTCCAAAATCGATTTAAGAGAGTTTGTTATTACGTCATTTAATCTACGTTCAATTTGACAGTCACCATAAACGTCATCTGTCATGTTTGAAAATCAAAACATTTCCCGCCAAAATGCTACCGCTATATTTTTTGTTTTCGCTGTCACGAAAATGTAGTATTGCTATTTTAATCTAAACACGACGCACTCTATCTATAGTTGTCAATATCTTCATGACGTCACATGAGAAGAAATACGATCTAACAGAAGACATAAGACGGACGCTAAACAATTTAAATACGCACAAATTTAAAATAAACGCGATCTAGATTTTTGGTAGCACAAATCGATTTATTTATCGATTTTAAAAACATTTAACATTCTCTGAATTCTAATTTGCTTATGATGACTTCAAGTTGAAGAATCAAATTTATTTAAGTCTGAATGGAATTATCGTTATGAAGTTAATGACTACTTACTTGTATACAATAAGAGCCCAGTGACGTATGATCTGAGATATAGGCTGGGTGCGTTGTAGTGAGACCTTGATTTTTTTCCAACTCAAAAATCAAAACATTGTTATTGTCATTGCCACGGTTAGACATTTTGGTGCAAGCGAACGTATTTAACTCTCGACCGATATAGATTGAACTATTATAATTTTACGAAAGGAACAAGTATCGCACAACATCAAAGATAATTATGTATGTAAATGCTATGATTATTTTTAAAGTTTATTTACAATGAAACTAATTGTGTTTAATCATTATTGTTACTTAATAACGCCCGAGATGACACCAAATTCACGATCTCTGCACGCTATATATATATAGAAACACTAATATTACATAATAACGAGGCGTGAAAGACTATTTGGTTTAAGCAACATTTGGCTAAATCCTCGACATTTATCTTTATAAATTAAATGTTTGTTTTATTTGGTACTATTAGCATCAACAATTCAATGATTTTAATTGAACTTCAATTAGGTTTACCCCATTCGAATAACTCAAGAAGTTTTTTCGTCATGATATTGTTACCTTAATTTTAAACTTTAAATAGCTCTGTTGTAAAGTTGAAAAAATTTCGCTTAAAAGAAATAACCTTTCTTCACCCCTCGGATGTGTAATACAATAATGCTATGTAAATTTTTTTGTATATCGTGTTGAAACCAAATTATGGGGATGGGATCCTTTGGTTTGAGGCCGTTATATTGTGTCATTCACTCACTCTGTAGATGATTTCATTGGAATTTGACATCAGCTATGCCCATTGTCTTTAATCGCCGCTGTGATGGACAATAGAGATATGAAAAGACGATTCGTGATTCATATTGTTACGGGCTATGGGGTTCGAGATAAATAAAATTTCACCAAAGTACAACTAAAAACTGTATTCAGCACTTAAAACACTTTAAAACTCTCAATTCGCTTGTTCCGCTTCGCTTCAGGTGATCCGTTCGCTGTTTCGTTTCGAGTAGTTCCGATTACTTACTGACTGTGTGCCATCCCTGTAACGCTTTTATAGTCAATACCTCATGCCTAGAATTATCGAGAATATTTCACAAATCTCTAGTAGTAGTTTCCGCTATCTGACAATAGATGGCGTTGTACTCCTCGAGCACTCTAGGTGCTACTAGATCCTTCGATATTCTTTCGACTATTCGGCGATAGATGGCGTTACTCTTACCGGCGTAACACTACTATTCTAATCTGTAATTGAAATTTTAAAGCAATGATCCAATAAACAGTGACCCGACGATTAAGTATTTTAGTCAAGACCAAAATAAATGCGAATCGGTATAGAAGCGAATATTGTGCTTCTAGTTGTGTGTGTGTTAAAAAGTTTTGATAAATCAAACGTGCGGTTTTATCACAAGGGGTTTTTGTGATAGTGTAAAGATTTGTTATTAAAATAATGGAGATGCAATTTTTATATACACATCAATACGTATAATTAAACAAAGAAAGATTGTGTTGATAGTATGGGGTTCGTTATAAAAAAAAAAGATGTGTGCACTTCTCACTCGCTAGAAGTGTATTCGGATATATTTCCATCTCGTTCTTTCTCGTGGGCTATAAATCGTACATGTATATATACGTCTCTTTTTAGTTTTGTCGGAACTTAAAATCGCGATGGTGCTAAAGGAGGGGTCACTTCAAAAATGAAAGTGGCATAATAAATTAATTTTAAAATTTCACTGTAGCATTAAAAATGTAAATGTTTTTTTCTGTTTTGTTAATTTGAATCATTTACAGAGTGATTGGTTTTGAAATGTAATAAACAAATAGCCTCGGAATTATAATTAATTTTATAAATCATTATTTTATTTTTGTTTGTTTATAATCTCTTCTCTAACTGATGTTTCTTGTGGTTTTATTTTTAATGTTTAGTTTTAGTTTTAACTTGTGATTCGCCTCTTTGTTTGTCCCTGTACGGCTCAATGTTGATTGATCCGGAGAGAAATGGAATTGTCCTAGAGACTTTATTAACATTTTGCATTAGGGTACTGAGCAGATAGTATTTTTTTGAGACCACCTCACAGACTGCAAGATATAGGCTTCATTGCGTGTGACGTCATTCTGGATCTGAAATGCGGTAGTGGTGCATACCACGTACTTCAGGGCCCCTAGTGACTTGCATCTGTTGACAGGTGGCTATCAACGCGTATAATCTACACAATGGACTAAAACGCAACGATTAGCCACATATGACGTCACGGTCCAATAACACAATCTCGGTTATTGATTTAATTTACAATTAAATTACCTTTGTAAGTAATTAGACGAAATAGAAACAGTGAACGTTTGAATGATTGAAATGAATTTTGATTTTGACTCAAAATTACAACTTTATATATACATATATCTTGCTGTGCTCAGGGTACATAATTCATATTACTCTGTATCTTAAGTACTGAATAAACAACAGAAGTTGATTCAAACATATTACTATATTAAATGAAAATAAATACCAAAAAAAAAAACTTCTGTTTGCTAACCTAACAAATGACGTCATATATAATAAGGTCTCGGAACAATTTTATTTCTCTAACAATTGTTTTATTGCAATGCGAACGCATGAGGTGGATATTATGTAAAACTAGGTTAAATATATTATTATTTAGATTGGAAGACATTTTTTGCTAGTAAGCATTGGTGGTGAATAAATGGCTGCCAAAGAAAAGGGGAATGTTTTATTTCGACGTTTACAATTGCCGCAGCTAGGATTAGATCATTTTCGTGTCCAAGGAGACTTGTTGGATATGGAGGGTAGACGTAATGAGCACCATTTTGTATAGGGGACAAGTTAAAAAGGTAGGCTGTAAGGCTGTAAATAGGAGGGAATTCTTGGAAGACTCACCGAAATAGCGCTAGTGTTGGTAGTGGAAATAGTATGAATAGAGCACTCACTGGTGGTAAGACCTCTTGTGAGTCCGCGCGGGTAGGTACCACCGCCCTGCCTATTTCTGCCGTGAAGCAGTAATGCGTTTCGGTTTGAAGGGTGGGGCAGCCGTTGTAACTATACTGAGACCTTAGAAATTATATCTCAAGGTGTGTGTCGCATTTACGTTGTAGATGTCTATGGGCTCCAGTAATCACTTAACACCAAGTGGGCTGTGAGCTCGTCTACACATCAAGGCAATAAAAAAAAAGCAGTTTTGAGCAGAGTGAAGTTTATTGGATTGCAATGAAGTGTGGTTGTTTATGGCATTGTTTTTAAAATTCTACCAGTTGCTACTGTGGCGCCACCTTAATTGGCTCGTTTTTAGCAGACACTTTTTCATTCACTGAGATGGTGCTCCTTACTTTTAGTCTTCATAGCTAGTGTGTATGATGGAGCAGTCGGGTTTAAAGGAAATGAAGGATGTAACGGAGGAGTCCTGTAGACCGAATGGTAAACAGTCGACGTCGCCCAAAACACGTCATTACGGATCCTCCCGATCCATTAACGGTGCTTTTAGGTAACACAAGCACCGATCACTGTCCTAGTCGAACCCGTCGCTTGCGACGAAGGGATCGACGAGCGAATTAACTCATAGACCCAGCCCACTGAGTTCCTCGCCGGATCTTCTTAGTGGGTCGCGTTTTCGATCCGGAGGTAGATTCTGCGAAGCACTGCTCTTGCTAGGGTTCGTGTTAGCATCACTTCGGTTAGAGCCCCGTGAGCTCACCTACTAGTTAAGGTTACGCTGGAATAGCCTCTCAAGGCTATCAGCATAGCTATAAAAAAAAAACCCACAATATCGCTCACCCTGTGTATATAATGTTCTAAGGTACACGTCAAGGCGAAGCTGAAATAGCCTCTCAAGGCTATCAGCATAGGTAGGGGAAAAGAAAACATCTTATCACAACAACAACAATAAGTGGCTGGTACGAAACGTCAGGTGGGATGAAGATGTGGAGTTGTAGTTTATTAGAAAAATGATATGGAGCAGAATAAAATGAAGTTGACTGACACTGATCAATTGGGATGAAGTTAAAGTCTCAGCGAAGTGTCGGTTACCTAGTGTTTAAGTATACGATATAATTACACGATTATAATTATAATTTGAGTAATTACTGGTGGTAGGACATCTTATGAGTCCGCGCTGATAGGTACCATCACCCTGCCTATTTCCGCCGTGAAGCAGTAATGCGTTTCGGTTTGAAGGGTCGGGCAGCCGTTGTACTGGAAAAACAGACCTTATAACTATTATTTCAAGGTAAGTGCCGGCATTTACGTTGTAGATGTCTATGGGCTCCGGTAGCCGCTTAATATCAGATTGGCTGTGAGCTCGTCCATCCATCTATGCAATAAAAAAAATATAAAAATTATGAACTCGTCACTGACAATAACAAAGACATCTCAAGAAGCCTTGCCACATCGAAGCATACTATGCGTCTACTGCTGGCCTCCGAAGACTCATCGGAATGACCAGGCTGCCCGCATCTGGGTTAAATTTTTATTTAATACAAATAAAAATCATTATTTTTATAAATATCTTTATTATTTAAACATCGTTTTACAGGATTACTCTTAACCTCTAATATATTATGAAAAATAAATATATCGAAATTCACGAAGGTACTAACATTTTTAAACTAATGAAAAGAAAAGTAAAAAAGAACATTTTTTTTTTCTTAATATATTGGTCTCGTAACGAGACCTTCAAGCCAAACGAAGAGCATAGGTTTTATTTAATGAGGTTTACGAAAAATATGCCGTGATTATTATTAAATATGATTTTAAATTTAATTGTTGTTTTGCAAATGATCAATACAAATTTACTGTCTTTAAAAGGCACCTTTTTTACAATAAAGGGTTTTTATAGTTTGACGATTGACAATTTAACCAAAAAATAAAATAACTAAATAATGCGGATAGTGATAACTGTAGACAATCTTTAACGAGATCGTCATACATTCAGATAAGGCAGACTTTAAAAAGACAACACGAAAAATTATCGAACTAAACTATAAACTCTAAAAACGGAGACTAAATTAGTATAGGCAACGAGTCATGAACTAAATAATCAAGTAGAATAGAATTGTAATGTTGGATTGGCATTGCATTTTCACTATTGTAATGAGCATATAAAGATGTGCAGCTATGTGTCTAATGAACATTTAATAAGCTAATCTCGAATTAATTATCGCTGTTGTCAATATAACATTACATCAACTATAGTAAAATTATTTTGTCTGTCCGTGCAGTTTGGGTCATAAAACATAGTGCGGCTAGGGCGGTGAGCATGTTGTGAGGGCGCAACGCCATTATCGATAAAAACAAATGAGTCATCGAAGGCAGGTACACGGCGGCGGGCGCGGGGCTAAAATAATGTTTTGCCTGTTGGCAAAAATATACCAGCACAAAGACGTGTAGCTATCAACGATGTGGAAAAAAGAGCAAAATAATTCAACATAGTTGTATGTTTTAAAAATGTTAACTAAAATGAAAATAGATCCCGAAAAGTTACAAAGTATTAATTTCACTAACCCATAAAATGACAAAACTAAATACACTATCGATAACGCTTATCGACAACAATGATGCGCATCACTATGCCCGTCCATAAGGCTCGTGAGTGGAAGAGAGAGCGAAATACTCGCTTCACCGCTCCGATTATTTATAACTCAAACTGCACGGACAAAATAATTCTACTATAGTAATATGTTTTTACAATACACTTATGCGTTTACAGATCTCGCGCATTAGTGGTTTCTGATATTGACAAAATAGGCAATCATAAAAAAAAAACAATAATGATTACCATTGTTTTTAGTTTTTTTTTTTTTTTTTGCTGTTTTCGGAAGCATTTCCAACACCCTGTACACATTGATTCCTACAAAATAAAACATTACAAGGTTTTGGACTTGCAATATTTTCCTCTCAAGTAGATAGTTCATGTCGCGGGACGCCGCTAGGAGTTTATTGGGTGGTGGCATCAGGATGTCTCTCCAGCAGCATGGCGACTCCCTGTCCTCCCGCCGCGCAGGCCGAGATGACGCCGAACTGCCCGTCCTCCCGCACCAGCCGGTGAGCCGTGTGCATCGCCAGACGAACCTGAAAAAAGTACATAAAAAAATAAAATACTTTAAAGTACCCGTACCCGTACCCGTACCGGTCCCAGCGAAGGTACCGAAACAGGATATACGAGTACTGTTGCGGATGAAGGTAATTAATAACGTAATTTGTTATTGATATTCTATGTAGGACATTGTAGAGTATTCATTCAGTTCTAACGCTAATATTCATATCGTCGTTGCAAATTTGAAATTTCCTATGTGTATAAATTTAGTTTTCGAGAAAATCTAATTCACTGGTGGTAGGACCTTTTGTGAGTCCGCGCGGGTAGGTACCCCGCCTATTTCTGCCATGAATCAGTAACGCGTTTCGGTTTGAAAGGCGGAGCAGCCGTTGTAACTATACTGAGACCTTAGAACTTAATCTCAAAGTGAGTGGCGCATTTACGTCTTAGATGTCAATGGGCTCCAGTAACCGCTTAACACCAGGAGGGCTGTGAGCTCGTCCACCCATCTAAGCAATAAAAAATACAGTGCTGACACCTATTGTTACATTTTGACACCACCTGGCGACATTTGTCGGCAAGTGGTTTCGTTTTAAGAATCCTTAGAAGTTTCTAATAACAATATTTGACAAACTTATAGAATAGTGTTACGCCGGCAAGAGTAACGACATCTATCGCCGAATAGCCGAACGAATATAGAAGGATCTAGTAGCACCTAGAACGCTCGAGAAGTACAACGCCATCTATTATCAGATAGAGGAAACACAACACTAGAAATGTATGGAATATTCTCGATAATTCTAGGGTTGTGGTATCGGCTATAAAAAGCGTTGCAGAGATGGCACGCAGTCAGTCAGTAATCGGAACTACTCGAAGCGAAACAGCGAACGGATCACCTAAAGCGAAGCGGATTGAGAATTTTAAAGTGTTTGTAAGTGTTCTAAGTGTTGAATACAGTTTTTAGTTGTACTTTGGTGGAATTTTATTTATCCCGGAATCCCAGCGCGTAACAATAGAATAGTAGAAGTAGTAAGAAGTAAATTTAGGCAAATATTATTTTTCATGATTTGAAATCTATTTTTAATGTTTTTTTTTGCATTATATCAACGTGATAAATAATGAATACTCACGCCGGTGGCGGCGAATGGATGTCCGATAGAGAGCGAGCCGCCCCACTTGTTCCACTTCTCGAGGTCCGGACTGCCAACCTACAATACAACACCCTGTTTACACTAATATAACAACTTGAGAAACATTCATTTGAATGTTTCAACCCTTTTAGTGTCTATATATCGACGCTTGAAAGGCAAAAGTGACTAAGCGACAATAGCTGCTTTGTACATAAATGATAGGCAATAACCATATTCAATGCGCAAAATAAATAAATTTCTAGGTCTATTAAAATCATTTCAATCCTACACCTACTAGCTAGATTCTACTATAGCTAGATTCGTTAAAATAAATTTTGTTTTCCGGTATTTCAACTTTAAATTAGTCTACTGTAAAGTTCACGCATAGTCGCTTAGTCACGTTTGCCTTTCAAGCGTCGATATATATATTTGTATTGTATCGGATAATTGTAAGATATACATTAGTGTTAACGAATTAACCTCACGTGATACATTGATGGCTGTGATTGGCCAACGATGACGTCATATCGCACGAACCAATCACAAAACAGGAAACGCAACAGTGGCACCAATTGTCAAAATTTAAAATTATTATAACACGAAGAAAAAAGATGGATGCGCATTTCAATTTCGTATTTTGTAAAATAATTAAAAACAATATAATGAGTATTTGAAGAAGTAAACGCATTTATTCATTTTCTTGGCCGCCTCAAGATACCTCTAAGAAATAGACGCAACATTTAGAAACAAAAATAAATTTAAAAATTAAATAAATTGATGTTACCTTTCCTTGACGTCCCAGATACTTCTGCCCGAACCAGTCCGAGTCGAGAGCCTTCAAATTCGCCAGGATTTGTCCCTGAAAACCAACTTATCAAGTACTTTCAACGTTTTGTACTACTTCGTAAGATTGCATAATTAATAAGTATGCAAGTATCATAAGTATTACTTATTACTTAATACATAAGTACTATAAGTATGATACTATAATAACCAAGTATTACTTATAATATGTACTAGTTAGACAAATTATAAAGAAAAAACAGTGTAGCAAAAGTAAGTTGTTTATTAAAATAAACTATACACACTTACGACACCATCCAACTGATATGCTTAAAGTTCCAAAACAACAAGAACTTAAATATATGTATCACAAAAGATTGAGATGTTTTTCCTTGCAACGGACTACAGATTGACATGTCAATATGCAAACATACGTTTATATGGCCACTTACCGCAAAGGCCTCATGGATCTCCCACGTGTCGATATCGCTGACCTTGAGGCCGACTTTGTCCAAGATCTTGGGAATGCCGTAGGCGGGCCCCAACAGCAGCTGGTCCACGGGATCCTGAGACAATACAGTTTTGGCTTACAATCTAACTTTGCAACAGATTTAAGCGGTTTAAATTTGACTCCCTTAACTTATCTTATATCTTTAAACGAGCAATTATTGTTGTTAATGCGTTTGCCATATCTGCGTGTCGTCTATAATCTATAATAAGCTAACTACTCTGTAATTTAAATATAATCTGTCTCTTAACATTTTCACGGGGGAACAATTCCCGCTTCTTTTTCTACTTACTTGATTCAATTTATACAAGCTTCTTGCTTCTTTACATATGTAATTCATTTAATTCATCAAAAATACAAAACTAAACATCTCTACTAACAAATTATTGTATAAATATAAAATAAAGTCTTGTAACAGAAAACAATGGGATTTCATTGTATCATCAGATACAATTGTATAATATATCTCGGAAACGGCTCCAACGATTTTCATAAAATTTAATATACAGGGGATTTCGGTACGATAAATCGATCTAGCTACGATTTATTTTCAGAAAATGTTATTTTATTCGTGTTTTCAATAATCAACTTTATCGATAATTTTGACTTTTTCTTTAAATAAATAACCAGAACATATTTTATTATTATTCTGTCGGTAACATCGAAAAATATTATTCATATTGCATCATTTTATCAAGATGTAATTCGTATTTAAATATAATTTCTAAAAAACACAATTTATAAAAAAAAAATTCCGAGCAAAGCGCGGTCATTATCTAGTAAATTTTATATTTAAAAATATTTTGTTATACCAATTCTGGAATTGTAAGAAACTTATAAAGCCTTCAATCAGTGGTCCTAAATTATTTCAAACTGGTAGCAGTTGTTTTAAACCGAAATATACAAAGTTTATGACATCAATAGAGTGTGAGTGTGCGAGAGAGATGATGGCACATTGTTAGAAAGACTGCCCCCTTCAAAAATATGAAAATGCTCGGAATTAAATAAAAATAACAATTTTGCTTTTCCTTTGATGTGTCCCCCTTTCGTCGGATTCCTTTTGTTGTTTTAAGTTTATTTTATACAAAAGTTTAGGTCTTTTATTTATCGATTGAGGCACTACGAAGTCTGCCGGGTCAGCTAGTTAATATATAGATTAAGTAAATTTTAATCGTACGCGAGCGTCTCAGTTGACAGACCCTAATATTACCTGAGCGACGTAGGTGAAGTCCCGCAGGTAGGCCTTCGGTTTGAGGCCGAGCTCCTTGGCCTTCGCCTCGGACATCACGAGGCAGGCGGAGGCGCCGTCCGTCTGATAACAAAGGACTAAATTTAAAAAAAAAACCTACCTAAGTCGATGAGAGGCTATTTCAATGTAACCTTAACTAGTAGGTGAGTTCACGGGGCTCAAACTGGGAGTGTTGCTAACACTGACCCTAGCAAGAGCCGTTCTTCGCAGAATCTATCACCGGATCGGAAACGCGACCCACTGAGAAGATCCGGCGAGAAACTCAGTAGGATGTGCCTGTGGGTTAATTTAAGGACGGTGATCGGTGCTATAGTTTATTTATTTTAAACTAATTTAAACATGTCAATGCATTGAGTTTTATTTTATTGCCCTTGTAGGCAGACGAGCATACGGACCACCTGATGGTGAGTGGTTACCGTCGCCCATGGACTTCAGCAATGCTAGAGACAAAGCCCTGCCTACCGTTAAGTTTGTACGGTAATTGCACGAACGGTATTCTTTATACAATTAATCTAAAGACTATACGGTCTATACAAAGCTGTGGGTCCGACCAGGAAGGATGCGTTGGCGGCGGTGACGGTGCCGTGCGGCTTGATGAAGGCCGGCTTCAGCTTGGCGAGCTGCTCGGGGGCGGACACGCGGATGCCGTTGTCCTTGTCCACCAGCCCGTCCTTGCCGTCCACTGGAACACACAGATAAATGTAACGCGTGAATATCTCATTTTTCCTATATAGACCTATTTATTTCCTATATAGCGATAGGCAGCGGCTTGGCTCTGCCCTTGGCATTACTGAAGTCCATGGACGACGGTAACCACCCACCATCAGGTGGGCCGTATGCTCGTCTGCCTACAAGGGCAATAAAAAAAAACTTAGAATTGATTTGGACCGTGAACAATTAACGTGACAAATTTCACACTTGCTGTATGCGCAATGTAATTAAAACATGTATAAAGTTCACTTATTAATACACTAGCTTTTGCCCGCGACTCCGTCCGCGTCGAAAAGTTACTTTGGCATAACGCTAAATTTTACCCCCCACTTCATTTACGTAGAAAGTGTAAATATTTTTGAATTATAGAATGTTAAGGAGCTATTTAAACCCCCTATTTCGAAACATTCTTTATTGGTGCTCCACTTGTATTGGTCTTACCGTGATATTATATAGCCTATAGTCTTCCTCAATTAATGAGCTATCTAACACTGAAAGAACTTTTCAAATTGGACCAGTAGTTCCTGAGATTAACGCGTTCAAACAAACAAACTCTTCAGCTTTATTTTATTAGGTATAGATAACAGCGTGTTCTATATTATCAATGTCTCAATAACATTAAGGTACTAGCCCTTATTGTGACTTAATAATAAAAATATGTTGGGGTATAAATCTTGACCTTTGACCGGTATGAGGTCCGTGAAGTATCCCTTCTGCTGGGCCTCGTGGGCGAGCGTGTGCGAGCGCAGCGCGTACTGGTCCTGCTCCAGTCGCGAGGCTCCGAAGGCGGCCGCCAGCCTGTCCGCGCTGTGGCCCATGGTCTCGCCCGACGAAAACTCCGCCACGGCAGGCAGCTGCCACAAATAAATCATTCCTATTTATATACTATTCGCGGTAGGCAGCGGCTTGGTTCTGCCCCTGGCATTGCTGAAGTCCATGGGCGACGGTAACCACTCACCATCAGGTGGGCCGTCTGCCTACAAGCGCAATAAAAAATAACTTTATGACATCTTTCAAAAAAATATTTCAGTACAAATAAACTAAGTTTTTTTTTATGATTGAAGTATTACTGATGGTCCAGAGACCTTTCCAATTTCACCAGGACAGGTGGGCGAGTAAAGGCTCAGTCAGGAGAAAAAATAAGTTGTTAGTTCTGTATGAGTTAATACTACCAATCATTCCACTTCACACTATCATATTATTATGGTGCCTTTTCAAGGGTAGGTAACACACTAACTAAATTGAAAGTATTTAATACCTACTAAAACACTGTGTATTAATTCATTTGATGAACATTAAAATTAACTTTTACTGGTGGTAGGACCTCTTGTGAGTCCGCACGGGCAGGTACCACCGCTCTGTCTATTTCTGCCGTGAAGCAGTAATGCGGTTTGAAGAGTGGGGCAGCCGTTGTAACTATACTAAGACTTTAAAATTCATATCTCAAGGTGGTTGGCGGCATTTACGTTGTAGATGTCTATGGGCTCCAGTAACCATTTAACACCAGGTGGGCTGTGAGCTCGTCTATCCATCTAAGCAATAAAAATAAATATTAAAATCAGTTAGTGACCTCTGGAGCGAAGAAGTCCGGTCGTATGGAGGCAATGAGCGACAGCCTCTGCGCTGGGGTCTTGGCGCGGTTGATCCGCAGCAGCAGCGAGCGCATCTTGCGGGAGTGGCGGATGGGCACGTCCGACATGAACTCCACTCCGCCCGCCACGATGACGTCATACGCGCCGGCCGCTATCATGCCGATACCTGACGTAACAACGAATGTGTGTTAACAAAATCCAAAGAGAAACAGTTTCATAAACCATGTAACCGTACTGAAAGCTTAGAACTTATGTTGGAGTTTGAATATCAAAGTAATGACCGGCAACACTTGACACATGTAAGGTTACAGATTTCAAATATTGGAATTGTTTAAAACAAACAATTGTCTTCTCTTCAGTAAAGACAATGACTTCTCATTTAGACACGGTCAGAGCAACATCTAAGAGTTTCATAAAAAATAAAATATTGTAATGGTGTATTGTGTAATAAATAGTGTACAAAGTATTTGCAATATAATTATATTAACCATGAAGCAGAGTGTTTTTAAATAGCCCCTCACCTACGGAGCCCAGTCCCCTCAAATTTAACCGTCCAACAACTTATATCTAAAGGTAGGTGGCGCATTTACGTTGTAGATGTCCATGGGCGCCAGTAACCACTTAACACCAGGTAGGCTGTGAGCTCGTCCACCCATCTAAGCAATAAAATTTTTTTCATATGAATTAGAAACTTTTTAGTTCTCATACTAGTGAGGGTAGTAAGAAAAAAGATGTACATAACGGTTTTTGACGTCATTACCGTTAAGTCGGCCGTGAGAGTAATAGAGACAGACATTCTGAACGAAAATGCTCTATTCCCAACACACATAATGCAATGTAAGTATTATTTTATACATAATTTTTAATCTATTCTAAAGCAGTTATTAGATAAAAAGTCCTTCTTTTTAAAGGTATCTCTAGGTAGCTTTTTAAAGGTTTTAAAGGATATCAAGCAAAGGAATACTTTCAATTTTAAAAAAGCAATGGTTTTTTGTAGATTCTTTTTTGTTGTCGACTCAGAGATTTTACTAGTGGTAGGACTTCTCATGAGACCAGACAGGTAGGTATCATCAGCCTGCTTATTTATGTCGTGAGGCAGTACTGCGTTTAGGTTCGAATAGTAGGCAGTCAGTCTACTATATAACTGAGTTTAAGAATTCATGTCTCAAGATGGGTATTTACGTTGATGTTGAAGGGCTCCGGTAACCATTTAACACCAGGTGGGCCATACCCACCAATCTAGGGAATTAAAAACATAATCACAATTACAACATCTCCATATGTGGAGAGATGATGGATCAAGAGATATAAAGAAGTTTGAAAAAACTAATGAATGCCTGAATCACAATATTGTAGTGTGCAGCTCGCCTAACCTTATATTTGTAACTGCACACACTAAATTATAACAGTATTACACGAATTGTCGACTTGAACAGTTCTCTTTTATTTCACCTACAACACTCCAATACATGGCGACCCTTAGCCAGCAGTTAAAATTTTGCAACATACGTAAAATACGAGAGTAGCTGAATCAAATATGAAGAAATATAATTATGAAGAATAGAAGTTTGTGAAGACAAGAAATAAGAGGAAAGAAGGTTTTTAAATTACCGAAAATGAAAAAAAAGAAGAAAAAAAAACAACCCTCACAGAAGATTGATTTGGATGAAGCGATGAGAACAATACAAAAAGACAAAAAAGGGTGTTGCTGCCGGGAGCCGGGAGAATGCTCAAGCCTTATGATGAGAGGATATGCAGGGCGCCGGGAGATAAATTGTACGGGTCCGAGGTGGAGCAGCTAGGAGTCAGTTCGAGTCCAATGCTGAGGAGTTCATTCACCCATGCTACGTAAGACGTCATGAACTACATATACGTTGACAGTAAATACGTGCTTACTGCAATGTAAGTTTTTCCTCTGATATTGTAATTTTTTTTTACGTTATTTTAATGTTCTGTATTATATGTTATTATTAAGTTCATGCGGAATTACTTTATATTTAGTTTAAGGAAATTATGTCAGAATGATAGAATATTCGAATTGTGGTACAAAAATGTCAGACTCATTTGATATCAAAACTGCAATTTCCCTGTTGCTGGTAATGAATGGAAATATTCAGTTTAAGGAAATCTATGTCTTTCCATCCACAAGAGCAGGTTATGCAACTACGAGAAAACTACAGAGGTTTCCGAGGCCGAGGAGATAGCTATTTTATAGGAATAAGAAAAATTATAATCGTAACTATAATTGTTATGAAAATAGTACAGGTCAACGAACTTCACATATCGTAAATCGAGGTAAACACTCAGGCGATCAGCGCCAGCGTAAGCATTTTCGCGGACGGCCGATGAATAATCAGCGTGTACAGCATAACACGCAAGATTCCAATGTCCAAGACAACTTGCACAACGATAACGCAAATAATTATGACAACTAAGAGTTTTTCGCACCTAAACAGTGCACTCATTCTATTTTTAGTTATAGTAATTTTTGTGTAATTAAGTGTCAACTTAAAAATAGTAATATCGATCTTAATTTATTAATCGATAGTGCAGCTAGTTTAGTAGAATTTATTGAATTTAGTACAACAGTATAAGATAGTTAAAGAAGAAATTAGTGGTAATTTAGAGTCGATGGGATATATTTATTTAAATATTATAATTAATCATGTGAATTTTGCACAACGCAGCTGCAGATGCATTGAGCCGGATACCTTTTACATCCAACAGCTTAAAGGAAATGCAACAGCATGTAGTATCGTTCATGACAAGAGTACAAGCTCGTAGGTTACGTATTGACTGTGACAATAATAACATGACTACGGAGATATCCTCTACTCCAAGGCCTGATCAACCTAAAGTAGTGGAAATCCTCAAACGACCAATTGACGGCGTTGAATTGATGCTATTTTGTAATAAAAATACATTAAAAGAGATAGAAAAAATCAAGCATTTTACTAGTGATAATGGTAATTGCAAATTCGTGCCTGAAAAATCAGCAATTTTTATAATTTCTCAATCGTTGTCTACCGTAAGTGTGTTAATGAGAGAATTATAACGTTTTTGCAAGCAAATCAAAATAAACGTGCTCGTAATAATTAAAAGCAAGCGCTGTGAACGACTTGTAAACAATTTTATAAAGGAAATGAGCCATTTGAAAGATTTTCCCAAGTTACTTGTTATTAAAGATGTGACAAGTATTAATGACAAAGAAGTTTAATATTTTGTGTAATTTAGTTTAAGTAAAAAAAAAAAAAAGTAGTTATGTAATAATATCATATTTTTTTTAAAAAAGGGGGGAGGTGTAGTGTGCAGCTCGCCTAACCTTATATTTGTAACTGCACACACTAAATTATAACAGTATTACACGAATTGTCGACTTGAACAGTTCTCTTTTATTTCACCTACAACACTCCAATACAATATACTCAAATCAATTTTTAAGCATTTTGGTAGTTGAGTTTAGGATTACCGAGATATCTGTAGATCTTTATGATAGTGAAAACACAGATGTGGTAATCATTATCATATACAAAGTATGAGATGCAACTATATTAGGAAAAATACAAATAAATTGTAGTCCTCACCAGTGGTGATTGCCTGGTTAGAAGAGATGCAAGCCATGGTGACGGTGTGCGCTGGAGTCCTGTCGCTGAACCCAGCCGCCAGGGCTGCCTCGCGCCCTATATTTGAAGTTTTCACCTCTTGGATCACGGTGCCATATACAATGTAGTCAATGACATCCTTCGATATACCAGTCTTTTGTAGGAGACCACTATGAAAATAGACATAAGACACAAAATAAAGATCTCTGTAGTGTACTAGTGATGGTACTTATTCTCCTTCATAAAAAAATATTACTAAGTGCTGGGTTTTTAAAACATAAACAAACAGCAATCAATTAAGCAAATGACTTCATGGTTGTTGTGCAAGTATACAGACTTGGTGAAAATTGTTAAAAAATACAATTCTAGTTAGAGTCTACCCTTCTTTCTTTTCAGGTTAAAATCTTACATATTTCATATAATGTCTTACATTACTATAATATACATTAAAAATGAAATTTAATAAAAGTCATCGTCGCCTAAAGGATAAGTCGTCCAGTAATCAAATCAAATCAAATCAAAAATTTTTATTCAACATAAATGAAAGTACATACTTGTTGAACGTCAAAAAAAACTACCGCCAATTCACAAGAACTAGCCTCCGTCCTGAGAAGAATTGGCAAGAAACTCAGCGGGCATGTCTTTTTTTTTTTACATATGAAATTATTATTTATTTATTTTTTAATATAAGATTTTTTTTAAAATATGAATTTTTTACAATGAGTAATATAACGTAACAATTACTACAATATTGAAATACCTGGAGCGAGCAACTCATTCCCACTTTGTGTAATCTTCTAGATAATCATTGACTTTATAGTAAGCTTTATTGCACAGATGTTCTTTAATAGTTTTCTTAAACCTATGTATATGTAGGTTCTGAACATCTTGTGGGATTTTGTTGTACAGGCGCACAGACAAACACCCGAATGAATTTCGTATCTTATGTAACCTACTCATCGGCACAACAAGCTTGTTTGTTCCTAGTATTTCTATTATGTATGTCCGACTGTTTAGGAAACTCCTCAATATGTTTACGAACATACATCAAATTTTCAAAAATGTACTGGGATGGCATAGTGAGAACTTTAATTTCTTTAAATTTCTCGCTCAGGGATTCCCTTGAGTGCATGTTATAAATAGCACGTATAGCTCTTTTCTGCAGAATAAATATCATTTCTACATCGGCCGCATTGCCCCATAGCAAAATGCCATTTGAATATTAGTATCGATAGATGCAACGGCGTTCGAATCCACTTTACTTAACAAAAGTTCACCACGATTGACTTCCATGGTGAAGGAATAACATCGTGTAATAAAAATCAAACCCGCAAAATTATAATTTGCGTAATCACTGGTGGTAGGATCCATTGTAAGTATGCACTGGTAGGTACCACCACCTCGCCTATTTTTGCAGTGAAGCAGCAATGCGTTTTGGTTTGAAGGGTGGGGCAGCCATTATAGTGTCGAGTTTCAAGGTGGGTGGCGGCATTTACGTTGTAGATATCTATGGGCTTCAGTAACTACTCAACACCAAGTGGGCTGTGAGCTCATCCATCCAACTATGCAATAAATAAATAAAATTAGTTGTGGCCTAGAGAATAAGATGCCCTGTGCATTATTATAGAGTAATGCTACTGTATCAGTTATCCAATCCCACACTGAAGTACTAATTATTCCAAAGAAATACACACTTAACAGAAGCTCAACAACAAAGGAATAACATAGAGCAAAAATACATCCTGATTTTTTTTTTGTGTGATATTTATTTGTGATAGCAATTTGGCACCAAGTGGGCTCTGAGCTCGTCCAGCCATCTAACCAATAAATCCAGATACTTCCAAAAATAGCTCGCTCGTAACAGAATAAAAACACAAAAAAGAGGCCACCAGACTATGCTAGAAATTTGACGCAGTCAGTTGACATCACCACTTAGATACCTAGAGAAAGACCCAAGATAAGTTGGTAAGTAGCGTTGAAGGAGAAGAGGGTCTGCAATGTCACTGAAGATGATGTCAAAGACAGAGCAAAGTGGAGTAGAAAATTAAGGAAGGCTGACCAACCAACATGTGGTATACATAGTTAGAAAGAGGGAGAGAGCTTAATTGCTAAACTATTTTAGTTCCTGTCAAAGACTTATAAAAATAAAAAAAATATCCTCAAAAAATATGAAATTAATCAAGATTACATAGTTCAGCTCAATAACAGTCAAGTCACCTTTGTGAGCAAGCAATCTTTCATAAACCATCTTGCAAATTATTCGTAATTCAAGTAAGTACGTAATATAGCCTTATTAATAAATCATTAAAATCAACTTACAGAAGTGCATGTCTTGCTAGTTCGTGGGGCATCATCCTGGCATAATCGGTGAATGAAACAAGGAATGGAGTGCGGACTCCATCGACCAGGACCACATTCTTGCCTGTACGGTCTGGGAGTGATTTCTTCTGCTGCAATACTGGCGCTACACTCAGCGCTCGTCTGGCAGTATCTATTATAAAAATCATTTTATATTACCACATAAAATATTTTGGGCGAAAAGCTAAAAACTTGTCAATGTTTAGCCCAATTAAACATTACAATACTTTGTTTTTAGATCAAAAATAAAATATTTATACAAATTGTAATTAAATCAGGTTCAGTTTCTATTACATGATGATGATCCTTAATTGTGGAAGTCGTGTGTGGGCTGTGTGTATTGTCTGTGTACGTATTGTTCTTTCTATTTCATAGTAAAGTTTGTTTATTTTGTTTAAGAAATATTAGACAAAACATTGAAGTTACAAAATAAATGTCAGGACAAAACATTTTCTATTAATATAATTTGGCAACAAACAAGCAAATTTATAAACAAGTCTGCCAGGATCACAGTCCAAAGTTTGCTTTTCAAAATTATAGATAAAACAACCGATTTGTTACATAAACATGTTTTAATACGCTTTGATGGTCGTAACTGGACTCTTGTTTTGGGACATTATTGTATATTTATCGTAAATTAATTGTATAATTTGCAACTTACCGAACTTAACAGTAGATCGTACGTGGTTTGCTTTTATCAATGATTTAGCGACTTGTGAAGCCATTTTAGTACGGCACTTCGGACAATTTTTCTTTAAACAGTGAAGATTTCTGCAATAAAATGCTAACGTTTAAATATTAATTAAATTAAAATATAAAAACTTCAAAATAATTGTATTCAATTTAATGAAAAAACTTGGAGAGTTGGACTCTGACCTATTTTACACCACAGATCAAGAAAGCGTTTTGGGGTTACCGCTTCATTTTTGTAAAAAGCCGATATTGACGAAACTCTTTGCTGTTTTCATTTTGTCTATTAAGCGTATATAAGCGGAGGCTATGAACTGATCATACGATATCATAAAGACATATATTATATATATGACATATATTATATATGTCTATATATTTATATATATATATCAGAACATGGAGAGATAGCAAAATATCTCTTAAAACCAAAATGAGACTTGTCTGAACTCTAGTGATCTCAATCCTTCTCTATGGAGAACTCCTTCTCCTTCTCCTTCCTTCTCCTTCCTTCTCCTTCTCTATCTCTTCTTCCTTCTGAGACGTGGACTCTGAAATCAGCTGATCGCTACTGCATTGGTCCCTTCGAGATGTGCTGCTGGAGGAAGATGCTATGAATCTCGTGGACAGCGTATCGGACTAACGTATGCATATTAAGACGGCTCACTATCCAAACCAGGCTCTCTATCATCTGTCTCAAGAGAATATTTTAGTTTTTCGGTCACATTGCCAGTAAGAGCGATGACGATCTTGACGATCATGAAAAATTGATACTAACTGGCAAGATTGCAGGCAAAAGATCTCGTGGCCGCAATCCAATGCGCTGGTCCGACCAAATCCACACCACTCTGGATACTGGATACCATAGATGCCATACACACTGCCTAGAACAGAGGAAGATGGCGAAACATCGTCTAGAGAATGATAATGGGAGAATGAGAATGGGAGAATGATAATGATAATGGGAATGGGAGATGGTTGCGCCTCAGATAAGAGGAATAGAGGATCATATAGACATGCAATTATCAACTGCTGCTTAATCAGATTCCTAACCATGGTAACGGCTGAAACATTCGCTTTTTGTTTACAGGGAAGATTATAATATGTGCTAAGTAGGTAGTGCCCTAATGATGGATTTTAGGAAAGTATTATCAGTAGCTTGAAGTTTGTGTGTAATCACGTTCCCGCACAATCTGACTGTTATTATACAGTCTATTATTATTAAGATTCAAAAGCTAATTTCAATACCATCATTTCTTTTCTAATTAATCCATTATCTGTTGTTTTTTTTCATTTTCTTGTATCACTGTAAATGTCATATTTGACTCAAAGCATTTCGTTACAATTTATTTACGTCCATTAACGACTCGACTTTTAGCCACGATTGCTTTTAATCGTTCCCTATTTTTCTATGAAAAAAAAGAGTGAAACTTTGTAACGGATTCCATTGTTTGCCAGTTTCGAGGTTCTACAGCCTAAACCAAATATAATTGTGAAGATAAGTATATTACTAGGCCGCACAGCTATGTACCATCACTCTGCTTATTACTGCTTCGTAGCAATAATGCGTTCCGATGCGATGGTGAGATAGCCGTTATGCTGTACAATCGATACTCATATGGGCTCTGGTAACCACTTAACATTTTTGGGCTGTGAACCATTTTTCTATGGAATTAATAAAGAACAAAATAATTAATTTAATTTGTTAATATAATTTTTATGAGAAAGTGGGAAAAGTTTATTCATTTAAAATATTAAAATATTCAATTAATATTAAAAGAAATAAAAAATAACGTGCCGGTAAAAAGGTGTGAATTTACCGATATTTCAGCGGACTTTTTGGAAAAACCCGACAAGCCACGTTCGGCGACTTTATTTCATTTTCTCACAACAGTGTCCATTTCTACAAAGGCTAAAGGGTTATAAAACCACCATTATTACACGTGTAATAGTGAACGATTCACATAACTTGTTACCTCGCGTTTCTGCCAAAATTACCCGTGCATCTCTTGAATTTCCCTACTTATTCGTTGATAGCATAAGGGACTACTCCAGTAACGCGCGAATGGGTAGATGAGCTCATGGGCTCAACCTGAGAGAATTTGCTCACACTAGCCCTAGAAAGAGCAGTGCTTCGCAGAATCTACCACCGGATCGGAATCGTGACTCACTGAGAAGATCCAGCGAGAAACTCTTAGTCTCTTAGTACCTAACTAGTTTGTAGGCTTAATCGTTTTTATTTGCGTTTTGTTATATCACTGGGTGAAAACGATTTAAATAGGTTAAAATTTGTTTATATAAACAACAAATAGATTTTTAGTAGCCTTACTATCTTATCTCGTTTATCGATACTAGTTTTGTAAATAGACAAGCGGACTAGGTCATTGGTTTCACAACAATGTTTTATGCAATATCAAAACTCAAACTAGAAGGGTAGAGGAATCGTAATTTTTAAATTCTAATCCGTTATACATCGCTCAGCTGTCTACCAAAGTTGTACTAACTACGATTTAACTTATTAATAATTGAATCCATTTTTTTTGTAATACATCAATCATTTTAATTCATATTTAGGTACGTTCACAAGCGTCGATGAAGAATTGCCATCAACACAATAGGTAAGCCCATTTTAATATTTTAGTCTGATGTCAGTCAATTTTTTCACCTCATTTTATGTAATTATTAAAATTTACTATATTGTTTAAAATATTTAAGAGGTTTTTTTAAATTAAAATCATCGTTAACATTGTGTGCTTCGACTGTTGCATGGAGATTGTTTTGTTCTGTACAATTTTTTATCAACGGTAAATATTTTTTTTAACCAATACAACTAAATATTACCTCTATATACTTATATTTACACCAGAACACAATTAATTAAACAATCGTCACGTATTTTATACAATTAAAACTTTTTTATGCTTTTTTGCATTCTTTTCGCAATCTACCCTCAATTTTTAAATAGAATTATCAAGAATTTGCTGAATAAATCATATTATAGTATGATATGAGTGAGTTTTGAGCATTACAAATCAAAAATACAAAGTACTCCATTGGGGAAATACTGGAATCCTTCGAACACGTTTTAAAGCAGCCATAATCCTGGGTATAAGTGTCACGAAAAAGTAATGTGTTTTGATGGGTAGGTCAGCTGTTTTTACAATAAGATCAAAACTTCGATTCCCATGTAAAGCATCTTTCACGAATTCCTTCCTCAAATTAAAATTACTAGATAATGATCGAGCTTTGTTGGGCTTTTTTTAATTTAAAAATTGTGTTTTTTAGAAATTGTATTTATATATGAATTACATATTGATAAAATAATGAAATATGAATAATATTTTTCGATCTTACCGACAGAATGATAAAAAAATATGAACTAGTTATTTAAAGAAAAAAATCAAAATTATCGATAAAGTTGATTATTGAAAGCACGAATAAAACAACATTTTCTAAAAATAAATCGTAGCTAGATCGATTTATCACCCCCGAAATCCCGTGTATACTAAATTTTATGAAAATTGTTTGAGCCGTTTCCGAGATTCATATTATATTTTAAATATTTATATACAAGAATTGCTCGTTTAAAGATGTAAGATAAGATAAGATAATAGACTAACATAGATATATTAAATATTATTTAAATGTAATAAATGTTATGAATTTATAAATTTGCGTAATTAATGTCGGTAGATGTTTCTGTAAACCGGCGCGGGTGGGTATTTTTGAGCGAACCACTCGAACAAAATTGATTTGCCTCTTAGCTCCAAGTAATTAATGTTATATGAGGGCTGCAAGTCCGCGATGTAGCTGGTTCGATACTTATTTGAATAACAAACAAAAAAATCTGATCGTGTAATTTTTAGTGTATTATCAGTATTCCGTCTATTGGTGACGTAATTCTGTACGGTTATGGTTTTTTTTGCTTAGATGGATGGACGAGCTCACAGCCCACCTGGTGTTAAGTGGTTACTGGAGCCCATATACCTCTACAACGGAAATGCGCCACCCGCCTCGAGATATAAGTTCTAAGGTCTCAAGTATAGTTACAACGGCTGCCCCACCCTTCAAACCGAAACGCATTACTGCTTCATGGCTGAAATAGGCAGGGTGGTGGTACCTACCCGTGCGGACTCACAAGAGGTCCTGCCAGTAATCACTAGTAATAGGTACAATATGTTAATTGAGTACATTAAATTATGTTTTGAGTTTATCTGCGGTATATTTATAGTTTAATTAAAAGTACTGTTATTTTCAAAAATATAAAAAAGTATATCATCATCTTGGGCTTTCTTAGTACAACGGATCTTAATTTGCGGTTAGACGATTAGACAAAGATATTTATATGCTGCGACGCATCGCTTATAGCAAATAGTTTGAAGTCGTCGTGGCCTAAAGGATAAGGCGTCCGGTGCATTCGTATCTAGCGATGCAACGGTGTTCGAATCCCCCAGGCGGGTACCAATTTTTCTAATGAAATACGTACTTAACAAATGTTCTCGATTGACTTCCACGGTGAAGGAATATAACATCGTGTAATAAAAATCAAACTCGCAAAGTTATAATTTGCATAATTACCTACTAGTGGTAGGATGTGATAGGGTGTGAATTGTGAGTTCGCAAGGGTAGGTACCACCACCCTGTCTATTTCTGCCGTGAAGCAGTAATGCGTTGCGGCTTGAAGGGTGGGGCAGCCGTTAAAAATGGAGACCTTAGAACTATTATGTCAAGGTAGGTAATGGCATTTGCGTTGTAGTCTATGGGCCCCGGTTCAAATCAAATCAAATCAAATGAAATCAAAAAATTTTTATTCAACATAAATGAAAGTACATACTTGTTGAACGTCAAAAGAACTACCGCCAATTCACAAGAACTAGCCTCCGTCCTGAGAAGAATTGGCAAGAAACTCAGCGGGCATGTCTTTTTTTTTTTTCATATAAANGGAAGTAATAAGTTCCAATGCACCATCCCTAATACCATAGTGATGTAGTTTCCTCACCAATGTTTCATGTTCAACACAGTCAAATGCTTTGGACAAGTCACAGAAAATTCCAAGACAATCATGCGATTCCTCCCAAGATTTAAAAATATTTTTGACTAGATAAGCACCTGCATCAGTTGTAGAGCGACCCCTGGTAAACCAGAATTGTTTATTATGAAGCAGGTTATTTGAATTAAAATGTTCTAAAAGTTGGGTCAAAATAATTTTTTCAAAGATTTTACTCAACGTAGGGAGTACTGAAATAGGTCTATAGTTAGAGGGGTCATCAGTACTACCAGATTTAAAAAGAGGTATCACTTTACTATGTTTCATTAAGTCAGGAAATACACCACACCTAATACAATCATTAAAAATACTAGCAAGATGAGGAGCAATAATGTCTATTACAGACTTCAAAACGTTTACTGATATTCCCCACAAGTCAACTGTATTTTTTACGTTAAGGCTATTAAAACTTTTTATTATATTGCTTGAATTAATTTCCTTAAATTTAAAAATTTCATTACATTTGTCGACATGGTTATGCAATAATATTTCAGGTAACCACTTGAGGGAGTTTATATAGAGTCCCTTCTTTAATTCGCCGTAAAGTCGTGTTTTATGTAATTAACACCACAGTTGAAACAATATACATTTTATTGTTGTAGCGGCATAAACAATTCTAAGTAATTATATTAAATTAGTTATTAAACATATTATAAATTATTTTTACGTTTTAAATTTTTGGCGGTAAAAAGGTCTCGTGTCACAGACTATATTCTTTTTCCCACATCTCGTGCGTTCCGGCTTACGCATCATAAAAAGGTGCGTACTTAAACGCCACACACTTAACCAATAAAATAAATAATGTATAACGCTTGATCCAATAAATTTCAGATCAGAATGAAGGTAGTTTTGTTAGCAATAGTTCTATGTACAACCTCGTGCGCGGGGCAGTTCGTTGACGAAATGCAAGTCTACGAGAAGGAGTGCCTGGGCGAAGATGTGTTTCCGTGCATGTCCGGGGGATGCATACAGCAGTCCCAGTACTGCGACGGGAAGGTGGACTGCGACGATGGAACCGACGAGAACTATTGCCGTGAGTGATATATTAAAAATATTAATTATCCCAATTTTACGGTTTGATTTTACTATGAAAAAAAAACAAAAAAAAACTGGTCGTGTAATTTTTAGTGTATTATCGGTGTTCCGTCTATTGGTGACGTAATTCTGTACGGTTTAGGTTTTTTTTTGTTTAAATGGGTGGACGAGCTCACAGCCCACCTGGTGTTAAGTGGTTACTGGAGCCCATAGACATCTACAACGTAAATGCGCCACCCACCTCGAGATATAAGTTCTAAGGTCTCAAGTATAGTTACAACGACTGCCCCACCCTTCAAACCGAAAATATTAATTATCCCAATTTTACGGCTTGATTTGTATTTTACTATGAAAAAAAAGGATTGTGTAGTTTTACGAAACGGTAAAAGTGATTTTTTTTTCACTTTTTTTTATTGCCCTTGTAGGCAGATGAGCATACGGCCCACGTGATGGTGAGTGGTTACCGTCGTCCATGGACTTCAGCAATGCCAGGGGCAGAGACAAGCCGCTGCCTACATTATAGACATTAACTTTGACAAACAACATTAAACACTGACAAAACAAACAAAATCGCGTGGAGCACTGGCACAAATGAGTAATAGTCTACACGGTCAGCTGCTGCGAACTATAGGCGCCGCCATATTGGCCTTGGCTGTCGGTGCAACCAAACTGACGGACCTAAAGATTGAGGTATACGTTCTTTCTGTGCGAAATGAAATGTGAATGACAAGAAAATATCTCGTTAGTGCAATTTTGGAATGTCGACGGATAAAAAGTTAATCGATTTTGTTAATGAACTTGATATTAAGCCGTAAGGTAGTTTGAATTATGTTCGCGACACGCAAAAACCTAAGGAGTTTCATTATTATGGATTTACTAGCCGTACTCGCCCGCTTCGCTGCGCATTTAAAATTAACATTAAATTATTTATTGTCATTATTATTAGGGAGTCTAACGCTCACATAAATATTAGCCTATCCATTAAGTATATGTATTTTCTACATGGATACCAAGTTTCAAGTCAATCGGATGCATGGTTATGTTCTGTTATAACGGAACATCCATAAAAACTACTGTAGATTTATATATTAGTATAGATTATACTCTTCTAACGCTCACTTAGACAATGATACGTTTATTAAACAATTATAACTTTTTGTGCTTTTTCGGGTCAAGGGCCGAACTTCCTACGAGGTCCCCACACCCAGGGTGCGTGTGGGGTGTGTGAGACTGGACGATCCGCATATTTTCAGAGGATGGTATTTAGGTATTCCGCCGAGGACATAACCTGGACGGGGTAAGAGAATTACCGTGGTCTACGCTGCAACCAGACGCACGGTTTACCCCAAGCTCACACCTTCTCATTGGTGATCCGTTGGTGGATTCTGCGAAGCACTGCTCATGCTAGGGTTATTGTTAGCAAATTCTCTCAGATTGAGCCCGTGAGGTCACCACCCGTCCGGGCGTAGTTGGAATAGCCTTTTAGGGTACCAGTGAATAGGTAGGGGGAAAAACTAGTTTTCGTAGTCACGGACGGGTTGTGGTATGTTGCTACGTCGACATTCAATTAGGTGAACTGTAAAAATTAATCCGTAAAATTAGCTGCAATTAAAAAATGACTGGTGGTAGGACCTCTTGTGAGTCCGTGCGTGTAGGTTTCACCACCCTGCCTATCTCTGCCGTGAAGCAGTAATACGTTTCGGTTTGAAGGGTGGGGCAACCGCTGTAACTATACTGAGACCTTAGAACTTCTATCTCAAGGTGAGTGCAAGCATTTACGTCGTAGATGTCTATGGCAAAGAAAAAGAAAAACAGTATACTGTTCACGTCGAGATAGTGGTAGATCTTGCAGTCAACACTGGCATTAGTCCAAGACGCTTGACATCCCATCCTAAATAGGGCCTTGTCAAGAAAACCGCATCAGTTGCGGCCGCGGTAATAACCTTTTTAAAATCGTGCCCACAGTTGATCACAAGCCAGACGCTCAGTTCTGTAACGAGACCCACCAGTTCATGTGTCGGGACAGCAAGAAGTGCATCCCGAACCATTGGATCTGTAATAACGACATCGATTGCGACGACGGAAGTGATGAGCTAAATTGCACTTTGGTTCCTGTGGCTACTGTGAGTAGCTTTTACTATATCCATGACCAGATGACCCGGCAGACTTCGTAGTGCCTCAATCGATAAATAAAATGCCTAAACTTTTGGGGGACACATTAAAGGAAAAACATAATTGTTATTTTTATTTAATTACGAGCATTTTCATATTTATCTACTTTTTAAACCTTCTTCGGACTTCCACAAATAATTCAAGACCAAAATTAGCCAAATCGGTCCAGCCGTTCTCGAGTTTTAGCGAGACTAATGAACAGCAATTCATTTATAAGTATATATATATATATATATATATATATATATATATATATATTATGTTCCTTGTATATTGCAGTTTTTAGAAGCCCTATACGGGCTCTACAGCTGGCGACAGCAAGTCATAGACCCGATATGTAGTGTTAATGTTATCGCCTAGAAACACTAGTCAGAAATCTCAATTGATTTGGCATAATAGTTGAAGCTTCCTTTAAACTTCGCGGCAAAAACACGTCAAGGAATATGTTAATCCTTGTCTGTAAAAGGACATAGTGCTGCGGTATTACCGGAGTATGTGCATTCTAAAGACGAGATTTCTTATTTATTTCATATGATTGTTATTAATGTATATAGAATTGAGTGAGTTATGAACACAGTCATTAAGGATCCTCCCACTCCACTAGCGGTGCTTTTAGCCAAGCACTCCCAAGCACTGGACATCGTTGTCATCGACATCGCTTGCGACAAAGGGCTCGGCGAGTAAATTAACCCACAGGCACAGCCCACTGAGTTTCTCGCCAGATCTTCTCAGTGGGCCGCGTTTCCGATCCGGTGGTAGATTCTACGAAGCACTGCTTTCTTGCTAGGGTTCGTGTGCCACGTCGTCATGTTTGAGCCCCGTGAGCTCACTTACTAGTTCGGTGAATCTAGAATAACCCCTTGAGGTTAAATACGACCAAAACTCACATAAAACCAGTTAACTTTGAGTCCTATTGTGAGAGTTTTAAAGATCAATTCAAGGAATATCCTGCAGGGTAAATGCAAAGGTTTTCTGTGCGGCGATGGAAAGTGTATCTCCAGTCTTTGGTTATGTGATGGAAGCTACGACTGCAAGGATAAGAGCGACGAGAATTCACCGGAAAACTGCCGTGAGTATACCGGTGTCAGCTGATGAATGACTCAGTGGTGCAGTAATCAACGGCCCTGACTGTTGCGACGAGGCTCGTGGGTTTGATTCCCACATCGGGCAAACATTCGTGTGATGAACAAATTTGTTTGCTCTTTCTCTAAGTTTATATTATCTATATATACATATATTTACACGCATATATAATAAGTACATGTGTCAGTCTTTGGTATCTATAACACAGAGAATCCTAATTTGGGTCCGGATGACCGTGCGTGATTTTTTTCGAGATATATATTTAAAAGAAAGACCTCAAACTGGACAACACTGTCTTCTTATTGTCCTTGGGGAAATAACAATGGGTTTTATAGAAGGCACCATCGATTTGCCTCCTCGATTGACATAAAAGATTAGAAAATCCTAATCTCTGGTACTTGAACAAATATTATATGCTGTACTTCACAGAAAGCTAAATCCTTTAAAATTAACATTATTATTTCTCACCCCCCGCAAAGATTCTCATCATTAACGCCCCCGCAACTGGTGTAGGGAGTCCAACACTCATATAAATATTAGCATATCCATTAAGTACATGTATTTTCTACATTGATACCAAGTTTCAAGTCAATCGGATGCACGGTTTAGTAGTTATAACGGAACATCCGTAGATTTATATATTAGTATAGATTAGCTATGACAGATTGTTAGTGTATCGCCACACACCTGAGTTTTGGTCTTTTCTAAGTGTCATTTCATTTTGCCATCATTTGCCCGATGGAGTGGCCAATGGAAAAAATAATTCACTATCTGTAGTCACAAGTTCATATTTATTCCTGGATCGTAGGTCACAGCCTCCTGTCCCACTCGATGCTAAGCGGATCGGATTGCCAGGATTGGCTAGGAGGGAGGCGCCAATACAAATGCACGGACTCCTCGTTTTGCCTCCCGAGTGAAATGATGTGTGATGGGATGCAGGACTGCAAGGACGGCAGTGACGAGAGACCCTTCTGCGCCAACTGTACGTGTAGACACGTAGATTAGCCTATTAAGATAATCAGATTCTTCAAGGCTTAGTTTCAGTAATATGATTTTTATTTTTATTGCTTAGGTTGGTGGACGAGCTCACAGCCCACCTGGTGTTAAATTGTTGCCGGAGCCCATAGACATCTACGACGTAAACGCCGCCACCCACCTTGAAACTTGATATTACAACGGCTGCCCCACCCTTCAAACCGAAACGCATTGCTGCTTCACGGCAGAAATAGGAGGGGTGGTGGTACCTACACGTGCGTACCAATAATTACGCAAATTTTAATTTTTCCGATTTGATTTTCATTACTTGATGTTATGTTCCTTCACCGTGGAAGTCAATCGTGAACATTTGTTGAGTACATATTTCATTAGAAAAATTGGTACCCGCCTGCGGGATTCGAACACCGGTGTATCGCTACACACGAATGCATCGGACGTCTTATCCTTTAGTCCACGACGACTTCGACGACGACCGAAATGTCGCTCGAACCTTTAGCCTTCCCACCCTTGGACTTCTTAAAGTGTTGTATCAAATAAACCTCAGGGCACACGATGTGCGCGAACCACACGTGCCTCGGTGACAAGGCCTCGTGTGTGCCGGACCGCGCGGGGCCCACGTGCGAGTGTCTCAACCACCTCAACCTGCGTCGGTACAATACCTCGACCGGGGCCTGCGACGACATCGACGAGTGCGCGCTGGCCCGCCCTCAGTGCTCCCACTACTGCGTCAACGCGGACGGCCATTTCACTTGTGAATGCGCCGACGGCTACTTCAAGGACGAACTTAAGTACTTGTGTTATGCTACAGGTGAGTGAACTTTCGGTTTTGACGCCTGGTACTCTGTGGTAGGACGAGAAAAGTGTGACAGTGAATTTTTAAGGCAGTCCCTGAATACGGAAGGTTCGCGATCGTGAATATCAAAAAAAGATATTTCTTGATATTTTATTTATTAAAATATGTATATAATATATATAAAAGCGAGCCAATCTTGGTGGCGCCACAGTAGCAAGTGGAAAGATTTAAAAAACAGCGTCATAAACTATTAAAGCAGGATAATACTAAATTTATAAGGATAGTAACACTTCTTCTTTTCTTCTTTCTCTTCACCTTATCGCACTAGGTGGGGTCGACACAGCTATTTTTTCTCTTCCATTCTATTCTATCAGGCGTCATCTCAACACTCATTCCTTTCTCTCTCATATCGTCATTCACACACTCCATCCATGTCTTCTTCGGTCGACCTCTACCTTGCACTATCATTTCCACACATCTCCTAGTCACATGCATCTTCTCTCTACGCATCACATGTCCATACCACGCTAACCGTCTGCTCTTTAATTTGTTGATTATCAGTAACACTTCGTACGTAAATATTAATAAAAATAAATAGTTGAGATTTTAAATTCTGCATATTTTTTATATACACAAGTTACGAAGAATATTAAATTTTTCAACCCAGCATATTTCACTCGATTTAAAACTGCTATTTTCATGTAATTTCCACTACTTACACTAGCGCTATTTCGGTGAGTCTTCTATTAATAGCTAGTTCTTTACAGATTTGACACTTTTTCAAATTGTCCCCTATACAAGATAGTGCTCGTCACTCCATACCCTTGAAGTTAGTAGAAGGCAAGGTTAGGTTACGTAGGCAAAAAAAAACCTTACAAACCGGTATAAGCGACTGCTTCGCGACTGGAAAGGGATCCTTCTTTACGCGCGAAACGTCATGTTTTCTGACAGAAGTGACAGCTACCCGATTTCCGGTTTTCTTTTTATCAGCCACTAGCTGACCCGGCAGACTTCGTAGTGCCTCAATCGATATATAAAATACCGAAACTTTTGTATAAAATAAACTTAAAACAAACAAAAGGAATCCGTCCCATGGGGGACACATCAAAGGAAAAACAAAATTGTTATTTTTATTTAATTCCGAGCATTTTCATATTTATCTACCTTTTAAACCTTCTTCGGACTTCCACAAATAATTCAAGACCAAAATTAGCCAAATCGATCCAGCCGCTCCTGAATTTTAGCGAGACTAACGAACAACAATACATTTTTATACATAAAGATTTTCCGTTACGCAGGTCCCGAGCCCCTGTTGTTCTACAGTACACGAAACGAAATTAAATATCTGAAAGTGAAGTCGAAGGAAGTGGTCACACTGGCTACAGGAATAAAAAAGGTAAATCCCCTTAACCTAATTCCCGTAATTCGTTGTCAATGTCGTGTTAATTAATACATATTAAGTCATTAAATAATAGTGTTGTCATTATTTATAGTACGTTTTTTTAAAATCACATTAGTCTTACAAAATTTTGTAACGATAGCTATAGAGTTTAAGTCGTCGTGGTCTAACGGATAAGACGTTCGGTGCATTTGTGTTGAGCGATGCACCGGTGTTCGAATCTCAGGCGGGTACCATTTTTTCTAATGAAATACGTACTCAACAAATGTTCACGATTGATTTCCACGGTGAAGGAATAACATCGTGTAATAAAAATGATACCCGCAAAATTATAATTTGCGTACTTACTGGTGGTAGGACCTCTTGTGTATCCGCAGGGGTAGGTACCACCGCCCCGCCTATTTCTGCGGTGAAGTAGTAATGCGTTTAGGTTTGAAGGGTGGGGCAGCCGTTGTAACTATCTTTGAGACATTAGACCTTATATCTCAAGATGAGTGGCGCATTTACATTGTAGATGTCTATGGGCTCCAGTAACCACTTAACACCAGGTGGGCTGTGAGCTTATCCACCCATCAAAGCAATAAAAAAAAAGTCACAATATTTAGATATAGATATAGATATTTAGATAATATAGGTTAGAAGATTATTTTGTATGCCTGAATCGCGCTAACGACATTATCAAGATCATCTATTAAACTAAAAGTTTCAAATAAGAACTTTTCTTAGTGCACGACTACCGAGTCTATTAAATAAGAAAACCATATAAAAATTTCGCGTCCGTGCATCCATGGTAGCTTTGCCGCATGCTGAAAAATTTTACCAACCTTACGTAGGGAAGGAGCGATGTATTACGTGCTGCTAAATCGACAGAAAATTAAAAAACAATACGACCCCATAACTATTTTCTGAAGGGGTCGCGACAGGGTTTTCGCACTACTAGTCTAGTAATAAATAATATATCATATCAAACTAAATGAATGCACCACGCTGAACCAAATAATATACTGTAAAAATGAGGCCGTCAGCGCAAAAGTGGCCTAACACACAATTTTTCATAATCATGCTTATAATTGTGTATATTGCAATTTATTTAAAATGAGTCGACTATTATCAAAGCCGGCAATCTGACTTTTGGACAATTATTGGTAAATCAGAAAAACGAATTATTGACTTTGTATTCCATTGGCAGTCACAAAACTCTTCGGAACGACATCTTAGATAAATAACAGGTTAAGTATTAACCTTTATTTAATGCAGGTTTTGAACCGTATTCTTTGAAGGAGACGATTATATTCAAATCAATCTGTATTGACATATCAATATATTTTTTTTGTCCAAATGCACAGATTGCCACCTTTGATAATAGACGACTCAAATATAATAAATTTTGATGCAAAACCGGTCTATCCATAGTTTCACCCATAGATAACAGATGACTTTGTAAACATAATTTTTGTGCGTGTTGTTTTTTTGCCTACTCAAATTCAAATTCATGAAAACATTGACCACTTTTGCGCTGACGGCCTCAAATATCTACGTAAATAGGAATAGTATATTATAATAGGAACTGATATCTTTCAACCTAGACTCAGGGGATTTGTCAGATGTGTAAAGGATATCCTATTTATCAATGGCTAGTTATCAATATAATGCTTGTGTTGGTTGTATTGTTGTTTACTTATGTGGATACAGTTTTTTTTTGTTTGGAACTCTTAATTTTATTTTTATTTGTAATTTTTAATTCTTATTTCTAATTTTGTTTTCAATAGCCAAAGTTATGTACATTAATACGGGTTTGTTGAGTGCATATACCATTTAGATTGCTATCCAAATTAGATCTATGTACTACTTGTACGATTTAGCTAATATGTACTGTAATGATTGTAATTTGTTTTGTGAATCAATAAATTAATGAAAAAAAAAAATGGTCATTCAAAACCAACATTCATAAATAAACATAATTGTTTTTCGTTAACTCCTCAAATTATGAAGACTATACTAAATTATGAATACTATATGAATAAATGACTAAATTATGAATCTATACTAATATTAAAAAGCTGAAGAGTTTGTTTGTTTGAACTCGCTAATCTCAGGAACTACTGGGTCGATTTGAAAATTTCTTTCAGTGTTAGATAGCCCATTTATCGAGGAACGCTATAGGTTATATAACATCACGGTAAGAACAATACAAGTGGAATACCAATAAAGAATGTTTCGAAATAGGGGTTTAAATAGCTCCTTAACGTTCTATAATACAAAAATATTTTCACTTTCTACGTAAATGAAGTGGGGGGTGGGGGGGGGGGTAAAATTTAGCGTTATGCTAAAGTATAATCACGCGGACTGAGTCGCGGGCAATAGCTAGTACTGTATATAACTGATGTCTTTGGTTCTCATAGTACAGAGAGTCCCAGTGTCGGGTCGGATGACCGGTGTGTGAATGGTTCTCGTACTTTCCAGGCTCACGGGGTCACATCGAACGGAATATACGTTTACTGGGTGGAAACAGCTGAAGGTCATCAAGCCATCGTCAAAGCTCACATAGACGACGTAGAAAACACTCGACAGGTTTGTCTTATGTCTTTTTAGTGTAAATTCTGTGTTCTTAAGACTCGCTTTAACCCACAGACACAGCCCACTGAGTTTCTCGCCGGATCTTTTCAGTGGGTCGCGTTTCCGATCCGGTGGTAGATTCTGCGAAGCGCTGCTCTTGCTAGGGCCAGTTTTAGCAGCACCTACATGTTAGGGCGAAGCAGTAATAGCCTCTCAAGGCTATCAGCATAGGTAAAGACTCGCTTAGATGGGCAGTTTTAGGAAAGCTACGTAGAATCTTCTCATTACTAATACCATACTGTCTCAAGATGGAAGTCTTTGACCATTGTGTGTTGCCTGACATATCCAGTGAGACGTGGCCGCCCATAATGGGTTTTATCAAAAGGCTCGAGGTCACCCAAAGAGCAATGGAGGTGGCCATGTTCGAAGTTTCGAGATCAAATCGGGAATGAGGAAATTCGCAGGAAAACCATGGTAAACGACATAGCCCAAAGGATTGGGACGTGAGGTCGTCCATCCATTTTAGCAATTAAAAATTAAAAAAAACCTTGACGTCATTCGTGGATACTAATACACACTAAGTACGTATTTCATTAGCAAAATCGGTACTTGTTCGCGAAATTTGAACATCGACACACTCTCTTAAGAGTACACCGGCCGTCTCAGCCTATAGACACAGACACAGCCCACTTATGGTGGTAGTCTGTACCATGCGGTCCATGCCAGCTATGATCGAACACAGTGGAAGAACGTCACATGTGGTCGCAATCCTCGGTAGTGAGGGAACGATATAGAAGAGTCACAACCCACTGAGCTTCTCGCCGGATCTTCTCAGTGGGTCGCGATTCCGATCCGGTGGTAGATTCTGCGAAGCACTGCTCTTGCTAGGGCCAGTGCTAGCAGCTCTCTCGGCATGAGCTTGTGAGCTGGAATAACTCCTCAGGCTACCAGTGAATCTCCTTTGTCGTATAACTCTTGTCAGAATGGTCGTGGTTATCATTCAGTATAATTGCTGTGGGCAGATCTTATATGCCTCACGAGCAATCGCCAATTCCCCCGGTGTGTACCAGCGAATTCTTCTTCACTACTGAGGATCGCGACCACATGTGACGTTCTTCCACTGTGTTCGATCATGGGGTGCATAGACCGCATGGTACAGACTACCACCAAGTGCTTCTCTTACTAGATCTGACCAGCGAATAGGTAGGGGGAAAAAAGAAACTGTTTTTTCAAAAAGTGAATATTCGTTTATTAACGAGTTGGTGTTTCCCGAGCGCTATGACATGTCATTTGAGTATTAGCCGGTAGGCAGCGGCTTGGCTCTGCCCCTGGCATTGCTGAAGTCCATGGGCGACGGTAACCACTCACCATCAGGTGGGCCGTATGCTCGTCTGCGTACAAGGACAATAAAAAAAAATTGAGCTTGCGTGTATTGTGGTCTCTTATATCTGTACAGGTAATAGTCGGTCTAGGTCTAGAGGATCCAGGCGATATAGCCATTGATTTCATGGCCCGCCACATTTACTTCGGCGATGCTGAAAGGGGCCTGATCTTCGTATGCTACGATAGCGGCTTCAAATGTTTTACTTTGAAAGCTGACACCAAACATCCCAAGTTCATCACTCTGGACCCGGTGCACGGGTGAGTGTGAATTTCATTATTTTATACAAATTAGTTAATTCTCATAAATCCTCAATCGCCAGTTTTGAATTATGAGGTAGAAGCTCAATCGAACGGTTTTTTTTTTGTTAAACATGAATGTTACAGTATATTTTCATGTCAAGTAAAAAACGAATTAAAACATATGACGTCATATGTGGCTAATCGTTTGGCTCTTATAAATACGCCTAATAAAGTTACGTTCAGTCTAGTTTTGTACGGTTTGCAAAACAAAAATTGATTTGTTTCGTTATTTATAACAAAAAACCAGTAATGTCAGTGAACAAAAAAAACCCTAATCGTCTCATGGTCTCGTGATGATGCAGGAAGATGTACTGGGCCGATTGGCACAGCCGGCCGGTGATAATGAGGGCCAAGATGGACGGGTCGAGCTCTGAGGTGCTGGTAGAGTCGATGACGTCATTCGCCAGTGGCCTGGCGCTGGACGTGCCCAACGACAGACTCTACTTTGTTGATAAGACCATCAAAGTTGTTCTGCTAAGCACTAAGGTCGTTTACGTGAGTATTCACGATAAATTGAGTTGTTTAATATTTAAATGATGTTCGTTGAAATAAACTAACATAGACTAGGACTTCTTGTAAGTCCGCACAGGTAGGTACCCTATTTCTGCCGTGAAGCAGCAATGCGTTTCAGTTTGAAGGGTGGGACAGCCGTTGTAACTATACTGAGACCTTAGACCTTATCTCAAGGTGGGTGGTGGCATTTACGTTTTAGATGTCTACGGGCTCCAGTAACCACTTAATACCAAATGGGCTGTGAGGTTACCCACCCATATTAGCAATAAAAAAAAAAGTTAAAACTCAAACTTGTATAGGCTTCGTGCATTATCGTCTCATCATTAACTACTGGAATTACGGCTATCTCATTATTCAGATCACAATGTTTTTATAGCTATTCCGTATAATAATATACATGTAATCAGATAGAATATTCACGATAATGTGAAATCTCATCACAATACACCAGGAACTAGGGGAAGCTAGGGTAAGCTAATGGCAGTTGGATCATAAATTCATCCATACTATACGATATGACAATACCTCTTAATAAATTTCCATAACATGTTGCTGGCGACTCATTTTATGTTGAATTATTCGAAGATCTATTTGTCAATGATATTTTGTCTTTAGTCATTATTCAAAGAGGCCCACCACCATCCTTACGCGATATCGGTGTTCGAGAACACGGTGTACTGGAGCGATTGGATATCAGACTCCATCCAGACTACAGATAAGATTCACAGCTCTTCGCAGAGACAGGTGCTCCTCAAGATGGACACTTCGGTATTTGGTATGTAGACCGTAGAAAGGACTTGCCTTTTTAATAGACATTTGCAGCTTGGACGAAGCTTTTCATCTTGGGGCGAGAAGATGACTGTGATGAGGGACCTTAACACGCTTCGCCACTCCTGAATGGAATTAGCAGGAAATTACGACAGATGAATTTAAGGAAGCAAACAGGAGTGAAATATCGATACTTTAAAAAGACGTAGGGTCCTTGGTGCTACAAGGGCGGGATGATAAGTAATTAGCCTAACAATAAAACACTTAACTTTTCGTGATAAAATTAATTTTATTTTTCGACATAGTCTCCGTGAACCTCTACGCACTTATTCCCTCTTCGTTCTAAAGCAGTAATGCCTTCCATAAAATGATTCCTTTCGAGGCCTGGAAAATACTCCTCTACAGCGCCTATGACTTCATCCATTTGTGGCAAATTTGTGTCCGCCCAAAAAAGTTTTGAGCTTAGGGAATAAGTGGAAGTCTGATGGCGCTATATCAGGCGAATAAGGTGGGTGGGACAGCAAATCATACTTCAATTCGTTGATTTTTGCCATAGCTTTAACACATGTGTGAACCCTGGCGTTGTCTTGGGGGAAGATGATTTTTTTTTCGCCAAATCTGGTCGGTTTTGCTGAATACACTGATGAAAATTATCTAGAAGATTAGCGTAGTATTTTCCATTAATCGTTTGACCATTAGGAAGATAATCTATCATCAAGATCCCATCTGCATCCCAAAAGACGGAAGCCATCACTTTTCCAGCCGACTTTACAGCCATGGCTTTTTTGGAGCCGGCCATCGCGATTGCGTACACTGTTTTGATTGAATTTTTGATTCTGGCGTGTAATAATGAACCCATGTTTTATCTGCTGTTACAAATCGACGTAAAAAATCGGCATTATTACTCTGAAACAGTCCAGACATTCTTTTGACTTTTGCACCCGAATCTTCTTTTGATCGTGCGTAAGCAATCGCGGCACCCAACGGGCCGATGACTTTTTCATATTTAATTCCTCACTTAGGATATGATGTACCCGGTCTTTTGTGATACCTGTAGTATCAGCTGTTTCAGATAACTTCAATCGTCGATCTGTTAAAACCATATCATGTACTTTCACAACCATTTCCGGAGTCGTGACGCTTTTTGGACGTCCGGGGCGGGCTTCATCTTGGACACATGTACGACCGCGCTTAAACTCAGCCACCCAGTTTTTTACTGTGTCATAAGAAAGAGCACATTCACCCTAAGCATTATTTAACTCGTCATAGATATCTTTTCCCTTCATGCCCTTCATATGAAGAAACTTTATCACCGCTCTTTGTTCAATTTTATCCATTTTGAAAACACTTGACGAAATATATTTTCAAATAACAAAAAATCAATAAAATTTTCACGCCACCAAATTCAAATTTAGAACACAGGTAGCCAGAGATACGAATTAAGAAATGACATATATTTTTTTTTAATTTTAAATTTTTAAATAGTAGAGTCTAGTTACTTATCATCCCGCCCTCGTACATAAGTACTTAATGTCTTTAATGCCAAAGGTATTATTGGTGATGGAGCTGAATGCTGGTCATCACTTGAGTCTTTTGTTTTCTTGCAAACATAAGAACAAGAAACCTACCACTAGTACTCTTAAATCCCGTTTGAACATGTCACAGAACTAAGGAGATTGAGTCCAAAATAACTGTTGGGTCAATTTCGACAGTTTGCTGTACGAGTGATCTAATTAATAAATAAGTTTATAGCAGCGGATAATAATAATTATAATGGATGGGATGAATTATGTTCAATTGATCCTTTAATTTAGAGATTCTGGGTTTTTTACCGGTAGTAGGACGACGGTACCACCACCATGCCTGTGTTTCTGCCATGAAGTTGTAATGGGTTTCGGTTTGAGGGGTGGGGCAGCAATTTTACTGTAAAATGTCATGTCTCAAAGTGGGTGGCGGTATTTACGCTGTACCTGTCTATGGGCTCTAATAACCACTTGACATGAGATGAGCAGTGAGCTCGTCTACTCGTCTGAGCAATAAAAATAATCAAGTAAAAAGGGTGTCCAGGGAAAATTACGTTATTCTTGCTTATTCTCACTTACCGGGGTATTTAAGGCTTGCATGCGCTTGGTTGACAGGTCTCCATATGTACCACCCAGCGTTGATGAAGAAGATTCCTCATCCGTGCGACGAGCACCCGTGCTCCCATTTCTGTCTGGTCACATCAATCGACACCTACTCGTGTGCTTGTCCAGACGAAATGGAAAACAAGAACGGCAGATGCATCCGTGAGTTTTCGAGGCTCTTACTGTCTTTGATCAGCTTTGTGATACGAATGTCATGTGTCTCCTAACACAGAAGAAAACTCTAGCTCTGGGGCGAATTCGTCGTGGCCTAATGGATAAGACGGCCGGTGCATTCATATAGAGTGATGCAACTGTGCCTGCGTTCGAATCCCACAGTCATGTACCGATTTTATTCTAAGGTAACACTTGACTAATGTTCACGACTGACTAATATAAGAAGCAATAAATTCGTATAATAAAAATCGATACGATCAAATTATAATTTGCGTAATTACCTACAGGTAATAAGTTGTTTTTTGGGCCTGCTACCACCCTGCCCATTTCTGTAGCTATGTGTTTCGGTTGAAGCGGCAGACACATTGCTCGTAGAAAGGATGGCCGTTGGGGCCAGAAAGTTCTTGAGTGGCGACCGCGTACCGGAAGACGTAGCGTGGGTAGGCCTGCCACAAGATGGACCGACGATCTATCGAGGTTCGCGAGGATACGCTGGATGCAGGCAGCGCAGGACCGGTCTTTGTGGCCAGGCTTGGGGGAGGCCTATGTCCAGCAGTGGACGTCTGTGGGCTGATAAGTGTTTCGGTACAGCCGTTCTACTATAAACATGAAACTTGGACCTTAGGATTAAAAGGTAACAAAAAAAAATTTGTTGTCTGTAAAGTCGATTTATGGTCGATAGATTTACGTGATAACGTCAGTAGCAGAACTATTCGAACGGCTAGCTCTGATGTCATGCGAGAAGAGATATAAACGTGTCACAAGCCAACGCAACGATCGTGCCTCTCTATCGCTTGTTCCGTGCTCTCGCTTGCACGCTTAGGCTCAGACGGAACGTGACACGTTTTCGTGCGTGCAGACGTTTATCGATTTCTGATTCAAACGACCTCTGGCCTGAAGATCAATTGTTTTTTATTTACGTTTGGCTGCTCTGGTTCCAGCCAAAGATGACTATCGCCCTCTGCATCTGATAGTCGGCAGCGGTAGACTGTTCACCAAGTTCCGGTTGGACGCCATGGGCAATCCGCACAGTCACGTCACCAACTTCTCCTTGGGACGCGTGCAAGCTATGACCTATGACTCTGTTCGAGGTACGTGGACTCATCAAGGGACTTGTTCATCAGTGACCATGACTATTAGGCCTTACTAATGAGTTTTTAAGGAGTTGAAAGAAAAACGGGCAGATGAAATGCAGAAGAGCATACGATAGATAATACACCTGACGGTGAGTGGTTACCGTCGCTCATGGCAGATGCAAAACCAAGCCCTTGCCTTACAGTTAAGTACTGTCCACAAGCCTCGTTTGAAGGTGGACATGTCATAGCGCTCTGGAAACATTGTGGAGGGGAATTAATTCCTAACCCGGATATAAGATAAAGAGACATCAGTGTCATCGAGTCCTCCCAAGACACGGTTTTCACGTAAACTGGTGGTAGGACCTCCTGTGAGTCCGCGCGGATAGGTACCACTACCCTGCCTATTTCTGCCGTGAAGCAGTAATGCGTTTCGGTTTGAAGGGTTGGGCAGCCGTTGTAACTATACTGAAACCTTAGAACTCATATCTCAAGGTGGGTGGCTAGATGTCTATGGGCTCCAGTAACCACTTAACACCAGGTGGGCTGTGAGCTCGTCCACCCATCTAAGCAATAAAAAAAAATGCGTCGTATTTCGACGGGGGTCGACTCACAGAAGCGTCCTCGTTTTTGGTCAACAGATAGGCTGTATGTGTACGACGGTCGAGAGCACTCGATCAGCTATACGAACATGAGCGATTTCACTCACGGCAAAGTGTTCGCCCTGATCAAGTTCGGACCCGAGAACGTTGTCGATATGGACTACGGTAAGACGTTGAGCGGTAATCGCAACTTGGAATTGTTGATGGGGGCTTTATGGTGGGAAAAGCGTGGCGTACTTGGCAATTGCTAATGGGGGCTTTGTCGGGGGAAACGCGTGATGTACTTCGCGACTGTTGTCATGTGGAATCTTTGCCATTAAAGCCTTGACAACTGTTCTCCATAGTTTGTGAGCTGAGGCTTAGCGTAAGCCCTCGTTAATTGGAGTTTTGGTAATGATTTTCACTTGATCAGTCCAGCGCATGGGGCTTCGTCCACGAGATCTTTTACCATTGACCCTACCCTGAACAACGAGTTTCTGAATATACATACTGAGATGCTGCACACATACATTATCTATACTAATATTATAAAGCTGTAGAGTTTGTTTGTTTGAACGCGCTAATCTCAGGAACTACTGGTCCGATTTGATTATTTCAGTGTTAGATAGCCCATTTATCGAGGAAGGCTATTTATTATTACGCTAAGACCAATACAAGCGGAGCACCAATAAATAATGTTTCAAAATTGGGTTTTTTTTCCCTTTTGAGAGCTTCCGCTGCGTGCGCTGCAGAAACGATTACAGTTTCGCTAAAATAATGTATGACAGAATTGTTCCCCTAAGATGTAAAAAAAGTCCGTGACAGCATATGTCTATATGTTAAGGTTGGCTCACTATAACGTTTTTTATGCTGACCAAATTTGTTCCAAAATAAAGCATTATTTGTGAACTATTACACGCGGACGAAGTCGCGGGCAAAAGCTAGTTGTTTATTAGAGCTATTGTATTCGTGAAACAGATTACGTCTCGGACTCTCTGTACATGCTGGACTCTGGCAGCGGCTACATTGAGGTGTTGTCCTTGCGCACGCTACATCGCGCCGTCGTCTACCGCTTCACCGACCGGGAGACTCCCGTCAGCTTCTGCGTGCTGCCGCATTACGGGTCAGTGGAAGCACTCACACACTCATATGGCCTAAGTTCTGGAAGGCGATGGACCTACCTGAGCTATGCTATGCTGTGCTATATCATCAGAGATTGTTGCAACAAATGAGACTTCGTCTTTTTTTTATTGCTTATATGGGTAGACGAGCTCACAGTTCACCTGGTGTTAAGTGGTTACTGGAGCCCATAGACATCTACAAAGTAAATGCGCCACCCACCTTGAGATATAAGTTCTAAGGTCTCAGTATAGTTACAACGGCTGCCCCACCCTTCAAACCGAAACGTATTACTGCTTCACGGCAGAAATGGCGAGGGTGGTAGTACCTGAGTGCTCTGAGGAATTATTCGAGATGATACCGGCATCTCGTTTTTACCATCGCACCGCCCGCCACCGGAGTAGAGTTCATCCATACTACCTGGAGCCACTGCGGTCATCCACAGTGCGTTTCCAGAGATCTTTTTTGCCACGTACCATCCGGTTATGGAATGAGCTCCCCTCCACGGTGTTTCCCGAGCGCTATGACATGTCCTTCTTCAAACGAGGCTTGTGGAGAGTATTAAGCGGTAGGCNCACCGGAGTAGAGTTCATCCATACTACCTGGAGCCACTGCGGTCATCCACAGTGCGTTTCCAGAGATCTTTTTTGCCACGTACCATCCGGTTATGGAATGAGCTCCCCTCCACGGTGTTTCCCGAGCGCTATGACATGTCCTTCTTCAAACGAGGCTTGTGGAGAGTATTAAGCGGTAGGCAGCGGCTTGGCTCTGCCCCTGGCATTGCTGAAGTCCATGGGCGACAGTAACCACTCACCATCAGGTGGGCCGTATGCTCATCTGCCTACAAGGGCAAAAAAAAAAACCTATCCGCGCGGACTCCCAAGAGGTCCTAGCACCAGACGCACTCACACATTTACAGGGAACCGCAATATGGTCGACGTTCTGGAAGGCGACGGACCTATATGAGCTATGCTAAGCTATGCTATATCATCAATAAATGAGAGTTTGTATTCTTAAGTTTTAGACATCAACGTAAATGCCACTTGCCAATGCTGAATGCCACTTTAAAAGCGTCATTGCGGTGTCAAAATCTGCATGGTTTTACCATAAAGCAGTCCAGATCGTCGGGCGGGAAAGCCGTAATGGAATACAAATGAGCCTGCGACCTCATGTCTCAATGCGGGCGGCTTGGGCTCCGGTAACTAATTAAAAACATTCGGATTGTGACCTTCGTCAGACTGTATTGTTTTTTTCGGTTTCCACAATTCTCAGACACAATTAAAACTGCTTTTACGGAGTCATAAGTGACCACGAAAACTGTAAAGTATTTGAAAGGTCGAATGGTAAAAGTAATTTTAAATTTTAATAATATCCGTCCGATTGTTTGAGGGGAAAATGTTATCTATCCAGGAAAATGTTGGTAGCGGTGATGCAGACGGATAACGACAACCGGATTTATGTGGACAGCATCGGCTTGGATGGAGACGGGAGGCGGCACATCGTCACCGTCAACATCAGAGGTTGGACAAACAGACAGGGCCAACGAATCGGAGACATTCGTTTTTAAAATTAACAAAACCGCCGAAATAATTTAAGCGTGACGTCACTTGTGGCCATAAGCGTCGAGCATTAATACCCCCTTGTCCACATATGACGTCACGCGTTGTGTTTATTGTATTAGCTTCTGTCTATCTCGATAAATAAAATAGAATGTTTGTGTGTTTGTCCCGTTCTAAATGATTTATCCGATAGCGATGATATATGGTACAAGTCCAGGGATAGCGTCGGTCGTAGTACCAGCAGCGTGCGGCATATCGTCTTTTCGGATTAAAAGTATACAATTTGCAAAAATATTCGAAATGAATCATTTGGTATCACCAGTATTTTTCTAATAAATACTGCCAAAAGAGCGTAGTATAGTTTTTTTTTGTATCTATGTTTTGATTACTATTAACAAAATTAATACATAATTTTATCTTACTTTAAAAGACACAAAATGTAACTGGCGCAAAATAAAAAATAATGTTGCAAAGATGATTAATATTAAAAATATCATATGTTACACCTTTAAAACACTCTCCTGTAAAATTAGTAAGTTTTGAGATTATACAGTTTTAATGCGAAAAGACGATATGGCGCGCGCGTTTTTCCCAGAATTCTTTTTTCATGTACCAATTAGAAAAATCCTCGATACTGTCCCATAGTAAAAAATATTATCTCGAAGAAGATCAAAGCTTTAACAAGAGCAAAGTTAGTTTTTCAAAGGCGATCTCTTTAATAATGATATGCATTACAATGATTGGCTTAAAAAACTCGCTTAGGAAATTTTCAACCGCTAAAAAAATAAATCTCTATAATAAAGTTTCGAATATTGGGATCATTCATTTTATGTTGATTAAAATAGCACAAGTTAATGGACATAGTCTGTACGCGTGATTGGTACCACCACCACCCTACCTATTACTGCAACAATACAATCCGGATTGAAGGGTGGGGCATCCGCTCTACTACAATAGAAACATAGACCTCATTCCTCTTGGGTTTTGGTATTCACGTGGTGATCCATAGGCTCTACATACCATAAAACACCAGGTGTCTTGTGATCCTTCACCTGTCCACTCAAAGGGACTTCAAGGCGTTTTCCACCAGCAAACCGTTCACGGTGGATAACTTTGGTGCGTGTATCAGGTCCCCGGATAATCCTGAGGTTCTTGCACGGCATGGACAATGTGTACCTGGCGGACGAGGGAAACGGCATCATAGATTACCTGCACTCTGAAGGTACGTGTCATTGGATACATGTTACAGCATTCCTCTTCGGTTCCAGCGAGTACTCGACATATTGCCCCGTACCATCCGGCCTTGGAATGGACTCCCTTCTTCGGTGTTTCTAGAGCGCTATGACATGTCCTTCTTCAAACATGACCTTAGCAGAAGCTATTAGTATTGATAATGACCATGAGCGACGGTGAATGCTTACCTACCATCGTGTGGGCCGTATGCTCGTCTGCATCCGTTGGCCATAAACCAAAAACCTATTAGTAATGTGAGTTCGAATTTCGTCTCGGCACAGATTGGCCATTTGGGCTGAAAAGCGACATCGAAGGTCTTAGCATGATTTACTATGGTTCGCAATATTGTTTGGCAAAGCACAGCTTTTGATGCTAAAGCTATGATTTCATTAAATTATTAAAAGTTTTTTACCAGAAAATTCATTGATATTTCAGCTTGAGCACATTAAACTGACCTTAGAACATTGTGGGGTTTTCATTGGGATGATGCGTGAAGAACCTATTTTTTGTGTAACGGAACTATCACTTATGTTAGGGCTGTGTTCAGAGTCTGCCACAAACTAGCTTAACTTTTCTTTGCTCCGCTTAAACAGCCAAGACTTAACTCAAGGTCGCTACGGCAGATAGTTAAAAGGAAATAAGCAAACGTTAAAGAAATCTGAAGATATTGAGGTTACTGAGGTTTTCACTGGTGGTAGGACCTCTTGTTAGTCCGCACGGGTAGGTACCCTGCCTATTTCTGCCGTGAAGCAGTAATGTGTTTCGGTTTGAAAGGTGGGGTAGCCGTTTTAACTATACTGAGAACTTAGAACTTATATCTCAAGGTGGGTGGCGCATTTACGTTGTAGATGTCTATGGGCTCCAGTAACTACTTAACACCAGGTGGGCTGTGAGCCCGTAAAACCATCTAAGCAATAAAAAAAATAAAAAAATAAACAGGTACCGGTAGGGAGAACTTCCGGGAGCTATCGACTTCAATATCCAGTATGGCCGTCACCGAAAACTATATATTCTGGACGGATAGAAGAACCCCGAAGCTATACTGGGCTAATATACACGAAACCTCTCATAAGATCAGAAGGATCGAACTTAGTGAGTTTCAAAATTTTAAAACGTTGATGGTTTGATTTATTTATTTTGATGCCATGTCTGTTTGTGTGTAGCTCTGTATCTCGTGAAGCATGAGACACGAAGGTATAATCCAAAAATGGGGAGTGACAGGCGATGGATAGTAAGCACACTATGGAATACCGATTAGTTTTTTAATGGTTTCTGAAGTCGTCGTGGTCTAAAAGATAAAACGTCCGGTGCATTCGTATGTAGCGATACACCGTGTTCGAATCCCGTAGGCGGGTACCAATTTTTCTAGTGAAATACCTACTTAACAAATGTTCACGATTGACTTCTACGGTGATGGAATAGCATCGTGTAATAAAAATCAAGCCCAAAATTATAATTTGTGTAATTAAGTACTGGGTAATTCTGCCGTGAAGCAGTAATGGGTTTCGGCTTGAAAGGTTGGGCAGCCGTTGTAACTATACTGAGATCTTAGAAAGTTAGAACTTATATCTCAAGGTGGGTGGTGCATTTGCGGCGTAGATGCCTATGGGCTCCAGTAACCACTTAACACCAGGTGGGCTGTGATCTCGTCCACCCATCATCTAAGCAATAAAAAAAGGTTAAATTGATTTTAAAGTCACTCGTATCCCTTCATATACGGGACAAACAGCAACTCTAAACGCATTTGCTTATCCGCAATGAAAATTTCACTTTCAGGGGCATTCTCAAACTCCTCTCAGCTCCTGCTGCAGACCACGTACCCCCCACCGTCTCCTCACGACCCGCTCACCCAGCACCCGTGCCACAGAGACAACCCGTGCTCCCAGGTCTGCGTCCCGACCCATTCCCCCACGAACCCCTACAGCTATAAATGCCTCTGCTCTCCGGGCCTCGTGTTCAGTAACGGGAGATGCACGGAGGTGGCCAGATGCAGCGAAAGCGAAATTTACTGTCACAAAAGCAATATATGTGTGGAGAAATACAAGAGGTGCAATGGAGTCGTGGACTGTTCGAGGGGAGAAGACGAGGAAGGATGTACACGTACGTAATCGAATATTTGTTACGTTAATACCTTAAACAAACTTTATTTCGTATTCTCTGCGCTTTTTACAACTTTAATACAGATGTGGAGGGGGATAAAAATATCATGATCGCTAAAACGAAAGATCTTCCTTAAAGACCTTCATTAAAAGATGGCATTCGTAGAAAAAGATACTCAAATAAGCTAACCAGAAAATGCCTTCTTCATTTGGAAAATATCTTTCCAAAAATGTTTCTACTTAATATTTTCCGTATTAAAATTAGTTTCTTACCATCGTATGGGCGGTAAACTCATTGCCGACAGAGGAAATAAAAAAATTTAATAAATTAAACGCTCACCATAACCACACTATCTCAGATATTACAAAGAAGCCCGAAAGCCAGTGCGACCTCAATGAGATACTCTGTTACGGGCTCTGCGTGGCTAAGGACTCTCCTTCCCCTTGTTCGCCTGAAAAACATTCAGGTACAAGCTCATTGCCTACAGAAGAAAAAACCAATTATAAATTAAAATGCTCATCATAACCCATTAATACCACATTATCTCAGATATTACAAAGAAGTCCGTAAACCAGTGCGACCCCAATCAGATACTCTGCTACGGGCTCTGCGTGACTAAGGATTCCCCTTTCCCTTGTTCGCCTGAAAAACATTCAGGTACAAGCTCATTGCCTAGCTAGGAAATAAATAAAGAATAAAACGCTCACTATAACCCATGAATACCACATTATCTCAGATATTACAAAGAAGCCCGAAAGCCAGTGCAACCCCAATGAGATACTCTGCTACGGGCTCTGCGTGGCGAAGGACTCTCCTTCCCCTTGTTCGCCTGAAAAGCATGCAGGTAGAAGCTCATTGCCTACACAGTAAATAAAAAAAAGAATAAAACGCTCATTATAACCCATTAATACCACATTATCTCAGATATTACAAAGAAGCCCGAAAGCCAGTGCGACCCCAATGAGATACTCTGCTACGGGCTCTGCGTGGCTAAGGACTCTCCTTCCCCTTGTTCGCCTAAAAATCATTCAGGTACAAGCTCATTGCCTACAGAGTAAATAAAAAAAAGAATAAAACGCTCCTTATAACCCATTAATACCACATTATCTCAGATATTACAAAGAAGCCCGAAAGCCAGTGCAACCCCAATGAGATACTCTGCTACGGGCTCTGCGTGGCGAAGGACTCTCCTTCCCCTTGTTCGCCTGAAAAGTATTCAGGTACAAGCTCATTGCCTATCGAGTAAATTAAAAAAAAGAATAAAACGCTCATTATAACCCATTAATACCACATTATCTCAGATATTACAAAGAAGCCCGAAAGCCAGTGCGACCCCAATGAGATACTCTGCTACGGGCTCTGCGTGGCTAAGGACTCCCCTTCCCCTTGTTCGCCTAAAAATAATTCAGGTACAAAGTCATTGCCTAGCTAGGAAAGAAAAAAGAATTAAAACGCTCACCATAACCCATTCATACCACATTATCTTAGATATTACAAAGAAGCCCGAAAGCCAGTGCAACCCCAATGAGATACTCTGCTACGGACTTTGCGTGGCGAAGGACTCTCCTTCCCCTTGTTCGCCTGAAAAATATTCAGGTACAAGCTCATTGCCTATCGAGTAAATTAAAAAAAAGAATAAAACGCTCATTATAACCCATTAATACCACATTATCTCAGATATTACAAAGAAGCCCGAAAGCCAGTGCGACCCCAATGAGATACTCTGCTACGGGCTCTGCGTGGCTAAGGACTCTCCTTCCCCTTGTTCGCCTGAAAATCATTCAGGTACAAGTTCATTGCCTATAGAGTAAATAAAAAAAAGAATAAAACGCTCATTATAACCCATTAATACCACATTATCTCACATATTACAAAGAAGCCCGAAAGCCAGTGCGACCCCAATGAGATACTTTGCTACGGGCTCTGCGTGGCTAAGGATTCTCCTTCCCCTTGTTCACCTGAAAAACATTCAGGTACAAGCTTCATGCCTACACAGGAAAAAATCAATTATAAATTAAAATGCTCATCATAACTCATTATTAATACTACATAATCTTAAACGATAACACCTAATGATCTCTCAACACTAGTCCGCAGCATCTGTTCACGACTTAACCCAACCTAATCTATCTTAAGAACGACGGAGCCTGGAGATCAGTAATACAGGTATTTGAACCTAGTACAAACTTCAGCTCTTTCAAAGGCTTACAAAATAAATATTAAGGTTAATTTTCCATTTATATTTGTACTGTACCTTTAAGAGAGAAATAAATCAATTATTATTATTATCTCAGATATTACAAAGAAGCCAGAAAGCCAGTGCGACCCCAATGAGATACTCTGCTACGGGCTCTGCGTGGCGAAGGACTCTCTCTCACCTTGTTCGCCCGGAAAACATTCAGGTACAAGATCTGCTGCAGATTCTTACGCTTCTGATGCCAAAGTCGAGTTTCGGTGGGAGTGACTCGAGTCCAGCTGTTGCAGACTTGACGACCCTTCCCCCTCTGAAATGCGACTGGAACCAGTTCACGTGCAAGGAGAGCCCGGTCTGCATCTCCCGGTCGCTGCTCTGTGACGGAGCCAAGGACTGTCCGGACGGCAGCGACGAGGGCCCCGACAACTGTGACACCCTGGCCTGCTTTGACACGGAGTTCATGTATGTGCTTTTTTTTTGGATAAAATTTTTTTTTATTGCTTAGTTGGGTGGACGATTTCACAGCCCACCTGGTGTTAGTGATTACTGGAGCCCATAGACATCTACAACGTGAATGCGCCACTCACCTTGCGATATAAGTTCTAAGGTCTCAAGTATAGTTACAACGGCTGCCCCACCCTTCAAACCGAAACGCATTACTGCTTCACGACAGAAATAGGCAGGGCGGTGGTACCTACCCGCGCGGACTCACAAGAGGTGCGAAGCAATGAATGCGCTATGCTAATTTCGTTTGCCCATCTGGCCCTTGGTCGACCTTTTGATCTGGTTAATTGTTAATTGTATAAGTTAGTAGTTAATTGAATAAGGGACGTTAACTGTTTTAGTACTGAGCTAATTTTACGAGCACAAAAGCTTTCCCTCAGGTGCGCGTCCGGTTCGTGCATCTTGAAAACGTGGAAGTGCGACGGAGACCAGGACTGCAACGACGCTTCCGATGAAATCGACTGTGGTCAGTGAGCGCCGCATTGTTTTAGCTTAATTTATATTAACTAACTAGCTGACCCGGCAGACTTCGTAGTGCCTCAATCGATAAATAAAAGACGTAAACTTTTGTATAAAATAAACTTAAAACAAACAAAAGGAATCCATCCGACGGGGGACTCATCAAAGGAAAATCAAAATTGTTATTTTTATTTAATTCCGAGCAATTTCATATTTATCTACCTTTTAAATCTCTGGATTTCCACAAATAATTCAAGACCAAAATTAGCCAGATCGGTCCAGCCATTCTCGAGTTTTAGCGAGACTAACGAACAGCAAATCATTTTTATATATATAGATAGATAAATAGATGTTGCATTTAATTGCATTTCGCCTACCAAGGCTACTGTAGTTACCTGATGTTGAATTCACAGAGGATACGCAGAAAATCGTTTCTGAAACTGCTACAGAATTAAACCTGTCTGGGTACTGAACAATAGACCTACGCCCGAAAACTCACACGTGTGTGTTCATTTGAAGCGGCAATGTAAAACAAAGACAGTTCTCTCGGGGTCGTTCACCTCGCGAATGCACAAATTACATTGCAGCGCAAAAAAAAAGTTCACTACAATCGATTTTTCAATGTTCTATCCCGAATGTTTCGATGTAATCTTCATATTTGACCAAATCAAAAGCCCTTTCTACGATAGGGTTCCCACCGAGTTCCCCCAAAAAAATGTATTTAATATAGTTAAGGGTATTCAAAAACTGCTAATCTTTATCGAAAACCTAAAATTTCCTCGTCTAACATAATTTTGCAACTACGACCATGAACATTCCGCAGAGAGCGTATCATGCAAGCCCGGGTACTATCAATGCCGCGACCGGGAGTGTATAGAGCTGAAGAAACGCTGCGACGGACACCAGGACTGCTTTGATTACTCCGACGAGGAAGAGTGTGATGAGCCAGTGGTCGTGGAGGAGCCGGTATGTTACTTTTTCTCTTACATTTTCTTTTTATTCCTTAGATGGGTAGATGAGCTCACAGCCCTCCAGGTGTTAAGTGGTTACTGGAGCCCGTAGACATCTACAACGTAAATGCGTCACCCACCTTGAGATTTAAGTTCTAAGGTCTCAAGTATAGTTACAACGGCTGCCCCGCCCTTCAAGTCGAAACGTATTACTGCTTCACGGCAGAAATAGGGCAGGGTGGTGGTACGTACCCGTGCGGACTCACAAGAGGTCCCACCACCAGTTACATAGCTGAAGAAGCTCACAGGGCTAGACTACAGTGGTGCTCGGAGCCCACGGACCTCACAATAGCACCATCCATCTTGAGACATGAGGTTACAGTGTCAATGGAATTGTATGACGGCTATGCTTTAGATATTGAGCAGATCGGTGGTTGGTAGCCGGTCGGTAGCCGAGTGGGATTAGTTGTCACTTTGCAGATTCAACAATATTTATAAGCTAGATACTTGTCATATTTCATGATAGATTATTCTAAAGCGAAGACTCATTGCCGTGTTAACCTCGAGAATAATATTTAGATACGTTCTTTATTGGCGATACGTTTGCTTTAAAGTAAATTATCCACAGACACAGTCCACGGAGTTTCTCGTTGCGATTTCGACCTATTGGTAAATTCAGTGAAGCACTGCTCTTGCTAGGGCTAGTGTTATTAAATTCTCTCAGGTTGAGCCTGTGAGCTTACAAACAGGAATATTCCCTTAAGCTATCAGCGAATAGGTAGGGGAAAAAAACAAAAAAAAAAACAAAGTTATTCCGGCTCCAGCGACTATCCCTTACATCACGGTTTCACAATCGACTTTTAAAAAAATGAGTTGGATCTGAATTCTTCGTCTGTATATTTTTTATGTCTCCCTTACGTCCTTATGGGACGCTGCGGCGGAGTACCCTAACCGGGAAAAAACGTCCGTAACGTAAGATTTTTTTATAGGTAAAACGATTTTAATGGTTACATTTATTATATAAACTGTTTTTCTCGTTTTATCCCATTTAAATTTAATCAAGTATCGACCCTATTGTTCTTTGAGTTATCCTTAATCGATTTCACAGCGTTATCGATATTAATAAATTTGCTTTTCTCTTTTTTGATAAAATAATTTGTATTGTGCCTACTAGAAAATACATCGTTGTGCCGAATGGGAGTACAGTTGCGAGCGTAACAGAAGTATCTGTTTACCGATTACGGCAAGGTGCGAATTAACCTACCGATATTATTACTCTGTGTTGTCCTGTGTGTTGTTTTGTTAAATTGTCTTGACTGAGATCGAACTGGGATTAACCGTTTATACGTGGCATGTGACACTGTGGTGATTTGAGACTGTTTAGTTGGCTGCTCAGATAATTGTAGGTACACGAAAACGACCTTAGAATTCATGAGCATTGAACTTATTATTAACTGCACTGACATTCGTCAGAGCTTCGAACAAGAAAAGGTTATAAAATATATATTTTTTATAAATAGATTTGTCCTTTTCAAGATTCCACTAAGTATTGTATGTGTGAAGTTGTTGTCTGGTGTTTTCTGTATTGGTGTGGGTAGTACGTGTTTTAAGTAATTCAAATCATTGAGATTGAATGAGTAAAAAAGAAATTTACCTAAAAACCTATAAAAACAGCATGAAGTAATATTGCTTATAGAGGTGGACAAGCTCACGGCCCCACTGGTGTTAAGTGGTCAACGGATTCCAAAGACATCTACCACGGTAATGTGGGCGGTAACGGGCGGCGGCCTATTTTGAGACTTTAGTTCTAAGTGTTTACAGTACAACGGCTGCCCCGCCCTTCAAACCGAAACGCATTACTGCTTCACGGCAGAAATAGGCGGGGTGGTGGTATCAACCCGTGCGGACTCACAAGACGCGTCTTACCACCATTAATTATATTTTTAACAAGGTGGTGGTTTGAAACCTCGCATGTGAATACATTTCGTAAGGACACTACAAAATTACCTTTTTGGGTCAGCAGAAAAACTGATTTTTTAGGTTAAAACATGGTGAGGCTTCTAGTGTGCTTACGGTATCTTTGAATATGTTTATACAGTATTTTCTGCCGTTTTCGCGTGTCGTCGGTGGAGGAGTCGAAACTGTGAAAGTATTTTCGATTGTATACGAAGACGGCTTCGTAACCAGTGTGCTTAGTGCGAGTTATTTAACGTTCTCGACAGCGTAAAAGTCGCATTTGTATGCAGTTGGAACAGCGCCCCTAGCGGCAAACGTATGCAAACGTTCCAACTCCATACAAATTTGAGTTAACTTTTACGCTATCGAGAACGTTAAAAAACTCTCACTAGTCACACAGGTAGTCAATATTCCATCATCGATTCTCACAAGGCGACTGATGAGTGCATTGCCTATTCAAAGAAATCGGTTCGATTTTCGTGGGCTAATAGTTCCTTTAAATTATTAATGTAACCCTCCCATAGCACATTATTTTATAGCACGGTTTCATCACTCTAACTCGAATAGAAAAAATCCCCAAAACTCTCTTACACGTTACTTCTACAAAACGATAACGAGTTTTTAATTTGGTTTTTTGGCGGGAACGTGAAGGCGTGAAGTTGTGCGATTTGTTTTATTTTGTTTATTTAGTGTTTCTTCAGGTTTAAATATGTAATATCATTGGTTAATTAACTGTTTAATATTTGTGAAAGTGCACAAATTTGGGAAAATTAAACAAAGCCGCTGGACGTAAAGCTTCTAGGGATCCTCCAAAAAGTCCACTGAAAAAATCTCAGTAAATGACCACCATTTTACTGAGATTATATTATATTTCATCCCATATCATCTCACCTCATCTCATCTCATTTCATTTAATTTCATCCCACTTGATTAATGTCTCAAATTAATCATCTTCATTTCATTTCATTTCGCACTATATTATCGTTTTTCATAAAAATAAGAATATAAATTAAAATAAGACATGACATAAAGGTCTTAGTTACCAGGTCATAAAATACCTTAAAAAAAGTTTTTAGTTAAAAAATATTTAGAAAATTACGTTATGCACTATGAACACACGATATATGGGAATAACCGATGTTTTACTGCTTATTTTTTATGTATAATAGGTAAAAAATACATAGAGGCATAGTTGAGATGTTTCATTCACAAAAATTCCCCTCTTTTGTGTACTGGCTTCTCATATAACGCGGTGTCGCATAACGCGGGACTTTATAGGGACGGATCTACCGTGTCATTGGAGGGCTGCCTGTACTTTTAATTTTATATGTACGACTTCGTATCCAGGTGCAACATGAAGACCGACTGCCCTGGTGGAACGGATGAGATAGGCTGCGACTACCGGTGCACTCCTCACGGGATGTTCGGTTGCAAGCAGCAGATCCGGTGCTTGGCCATGAACCGGGTTTGCGACGGAAACAAGGAGTGCGACGATGGATCTGATGAGACGCCCGACGCTTGCGCTCTCGGTAAGTGCTTCACTACATAGTATAAAACAAAGTCGCTTTCTCTGTCCCTATATCTGACTGTCCCTATGTATGCTTAAATCTTTAAAACTATGCAACGGATTTTGATGCGGTTTTTTTTAATAGATAGATTGATTGAAGAGGAAGGTTTATGTGTATAATAACATCGATTAAATAGTGGAGAAATCAATAATAAATTACAGTTTCCGAAGAGAAGCGAGGGCGGGTCGCTAGTCTGTAATATTCTCTCCAGGTTTAGCGAGCTTAGGGTTTAAAAATACTTTTACAGTTAATTTAGATTTAGCGGTTGTCCAACGAAGAATTGACTGAGGATAACTTTAAAATTATTAAAACAATGCATAATGTCTGTGATGCGTTTGTCGGATACAAATATTGGTCACAAGCAGTGTGCTTAGTGCGAGTTTTTTAACGTTCTCTATAGCGTAAAAGTTAGCTCATATTTGTATGGAATGGGATCGTTTGCGTACGTTTGCCGCTAGGGGCGCTGTTCCAACTGCATACAAAGTTGGATTAACTTTTACGCTATCGAGAACGTTAAATAACTCGCACTAAGCACACAGATGAGGATTGTTGGTGACAACTTCAAAGTGTGCGCAAAGTTCCATTTGATTTGTCGAATGCGGTTTTTCGTTAAAGCTTTCTTTATCGTTATATCCCGCAGTCAACAGAACCTCCCACCTGTACCCGGTGATGCTGTATCCGGCAGCAGAGTGCCGCGACGGATTCCTCTGCGGCAACGGTCAATGCATCGAGTGGGCGGAAGTGTGCGACCGCACCCCCAACTGCTTCGACGGATCGGACGAGAGCATCCACTGCTGTAAGGAGCTTCTGAACATTAAACAAGTTCACTCTAAACCTCTCTATATCAAACACATATTTGGTTTCCATTGCGCGGTTCTCAAAACAACAAGCTTTCGCAGCAATGTACATTCCAAAATTCTGTTTTTTTAATGGCTTAAATGGTTGGACTAGCTCTCACAGCCTACCTCGTGATAAGTGGTTACTGGAGCCCAAAAACTCCCGTCCCCACTCGAAACAGAACCCAGGATAAATAGAGGGTTACCGCGCCACCGTTATTACCGTGATTACCGTGCCACTAGTGTTCCGGAAATGTGAGATCGGCTCCCTTCATAACCAAACAAAATCCTTATCGACAGTCTACCTTATTCTTAGCAGAGAACTCGTGTATGCTATTCCCTGTAATGATTAGGGCGATATCAATAAAATGTTCAAGATACCTTCAGATTGACCCAGCCACTCGCATCGGCCGCATCCTATGAAATTTGGCCGCAATCAGTCAAATCCAATATAGACCTGACAAACGTTCGTGGGGGCTGGCAATGAGGCAAAGAGAGAGTTTGAGTTCTGAATATGTTTGATACGAAGCAGTCTTGATTTGCAGTGTAAAGGTCGTGGCCTCATGAGGATTGAGAAAATACACATGATGGAGTACAGCGTCCTTTCAAGGCAGTGTTTTTGGAAGAGGTTTTTGGTTTTTCGAAGCTGCTGAAGCTTTATTTGGCGTTGACTGTTTCACGGTGGAAAGGTCGAACTCCAACTCAACCTTCCCTTTTTCTCATCCGAGCCTGAGACCGGCATTGGCAGAGTTTTGGCGAAGCTACATTATTTATCTAGCTTAAATTTTTTTTAATGGCAATTAGTGCCGTTGTCTAATCGTATTTAACGCGGGCAACACTGACGGCGTGCAGTCTCGGCGTGCGACAACAACACGTGCGCCCACGCGTGCCAGGCCACGCCGCTGGGGCCGCGCTGCCTGTGCCCGGCCGGGTACAGCGCCGCGCCGGACCGCCGGACGTGCGCCGACGTGGACGAGTGCCGCGCGGGGCTGTGCTCGCAGGCCTGCGTCAACACCCCGGGCTCCTTCCTCTGCTCGTGCCATCACGGGTACGCGCTTAGGTGAGTATTCAGACGTTCATTATGCGCCTTTGTGCACTTGAAAGAAGTGAAACTTCTTTTACGGTATGTAGTAAGTCTTCTTGATTTTTCATCTTTAAATCAAATTTCTCTTAACTTAGCTCGCTTTGTCTTTTCCCTCCACGGTCGATTGGTTCGCGAGAGGCTCTATCTATTTTCTCACTCTCACTCGTCCTATATTAGATCTTTTCTCTCTAACCGTAACGAATCTGTCTCGAGTTAAATTTTACTCTCAACGAGCCTAAAGAAGTTTCACTTCAAAAAAGTAAACTATAATACTAGCATATATTATGATTACATAGTAAAGTTAAGATCTTTTTAACAAACAATTTATTATGTAAATGCTTTGAATTTAGGTCCGACAGACGTTCTTGCAAGGCCGTCACCGGGAACATGTCCATACTGTACGTGTCTGGTAACACCGTGCGCTCCGTCTCGGCTGATGGCTACGGCGCCATAGAGTACAGCGACCCGGACCTTGGCGATATCACTGATTTGGATTTCAATGTTAGGTTCGTTGATTAAGTTTTCTGACTACCCTCATTTTTATTACGCTTTTATTAGCTTCAGACGTATGTATGTTTGTAACGGAATTTTTGAACATGATTTTGACCCCTTTCAAAACCCGCACGCTTTTTTTACAATAAAATATTTTTTTCTTACACTATTTTTAAACTAATATGTATTTTTTTACATCGGTGCGATATGATATCTCTCTATGGGAAGTACTTACCTATCGTTGCCGAAGAATAACCACACTGTTGTTGTTGCAGAGAAAGACCTCTTTACACCTCATCCAATGATGATAAAGTTCACCGGGTCTAATAGAGCTATTTATGACCAGACAAACAGCGGCAATGTTAGTCTTTCGTACCGGAACTTACGGTCGCTTTGTAAGACTGTGGCAGCGGCTGCGCCCTCCCACCGCAACCAGCTCGTGATCGCGATAGAGGCTCTGAACTGTCGGGTACTTTATTTAGCATTTCTATTACAGAACGAAGCGTTTGTATGTGACGTCTACGGAGTCGGGGAAGCTGATAGAATTGAACGTGACGCATGACGTGGTCGCCGTGACGAACGTGGGACGGCCGACCAGGGTGAGTGTCTCCAGACTACAGAGAGCCGCCGGAGCTGCCTGAAGCTCTCAGAACCGGTGTCAGAGAATATTGGTCATTAGAGCCCACTAAGTTTCTCGCCGGATTTTCTCAGTGGGTCGCAATTCCGATCCGGTAGTAGATTCTGCAAAGCACTTGTTAGGGCTAGTGTTAGCAAATTCTCTCAGGTTGAGCCCGTGAGCTCACCTACCCGTCCGGGCGTATGTAGAATAGCCCTTTAAGTTACCAGCGAATTGGTAGGATAAAAAAATTGGTCGTTACCATTGAAACCATGGAAATGGTGAGTGGTCATATCGTATCAGGTTGCTACCGGAGCCCAATTTCACAACCATACCAGTGCTGCTACATAGACTTCCATCACCTTCGAATTTGGTTGTCGTGTGATTAGTCCCAGCAGCACGCCGATGGCCGATGGAGTCGCACTGACGAACCATTCCTAAATATCCGGTGCACTGATAAAAGAGTGTGCGGTCATTGTGCCAGTGGTCGGCAACCAACGTGCGGTCACTGCCGCCCAACCAGTGAGCTGTTGTAGACTCGTCTGTGCGTCACGCAGGTGGCAGTGGACTGGGTGACGGGAAATGTATACTTCGCGGATAGCACGCCGGGTGCTAGCTGCGTGAGGGTCTGTGACGTCACCAGGAGGAGATGCGCCAGGCTGCAGAAGATACCGTCTGACGCCACGGTTAGTGTACGTCCAGAACTTGTCGTTTACTCAAGGGCTGCTCGGGATCTGTGCAGCCAGGATCCCGCTGCCCAATAATGCACTGATGACCTAACTCAGTCAGTTAGTTTTCCGGAATATCTATCATGATATTGAACGAATGAGACCCAGGTAAAAAGATCTTTAAAATATACTGATTTATCAAACGTGAAAGGTAAGTATGTAGGCAGCGGCTTGGCTCTGCCTTTGGTATTGCTGAAGTCCATGAGTGATGGCAACCACTCACCATCAGGTAGACCGTTCAGTTTACTCCATTCTAATATCTGAAGTTTTTTTTTTGTTATGTGTGATATTTTTTCCAAATTGTGAGCTTTAAATGGTTCTCCTGCGAAGTTACAAAAATGCCACTCAAACCAAATTGCCTTCCAAGCCTCGATTTAATTGTGTCTGTAAGTTGCAAACTTTGGAAACTTATATAGCTCTTCGAATTTAAAGAGTTAGATTCTAAAGCTGAAGTGGTCTCTTAAGACCATCAGCTTAGATAGGGAAAAAAAGGTGTTCGTTTCTATAAATTAAGAACTGTTTTTTAATGATTAGATGGGTGGACGAGCTCACAGCTCTGATGTTAAGTGGTTACTGGAGACCACAGACATCTACAACGTAAATGCACCATCCATCTTGAGATATAAGTTCTAAGGTCTCAGTATAGTTATAACGGCTACCCCGCCTTTCAAACCGAAGTGCGTTACTGCTTCACGGCAGAAATAGGCAGGGCGGTGGTACCTACCCGCGCGGACTCAAAAGAGGTCCTACCACCAGTAAAACTCTGTATAAAAATCGTAAGTTATTATCCAGGTCAAGGCATTGATAGTGGAGCCGGCGTCCCGACGCATGTTCTACTGCGTCCAGCGCGGCCACGAGTCCGTGGTCTGGTCCGCCTCGCTCTCCGGCCGGAGCGCCCTGGACCTCCTCCACGTGACCCAGTGCTCGGGATTAGCTGCCGATTCGTTCACGAGGAGGCTGTACGTGGCAGAGACTGCGCCCCCCCATATCATGGTGGTCGACTTCGATGGAAAGAATCCGTGAGTTATTTATTATTCTTTTAAAAATTTGTGAGTGATTTATTGAATTTAATACAATATGATGATATGATAACCTACAAACACCACGCTGGGGTTCGAGATAAATAAAATACCGAAGTGTAAATTAAAACTGCATTCAACAATTAACGAACACTTTAAAACTCTCAATTCGCTTCTTCCGCTTCGTTTCAGGTGATCCATTCGCTGTTTCACTTCGAGTAGTTCCGATTACTGACTGATTTCGCGTCGTCACTGTAACGCTTTTATAGCCGATACAACATCCCTAGATTTATCCAGAATATTCCTCACAAGTCAAGTAGCTTCGACGTGTGTTTCTGCTATCTGACATTAGATGGCGTTGTACTTCCCGATTTTACTAGTACCTTAGATATTCGTTTCTTGCTATTCGGCAATAGATGGCGTTACTCTTTCAGGCGTAACAATATGAAGCTCGCTCACGCACGCTTTGTAATATAGAACTGAGACCTATGACTCTTGTCTCAAGATCTTGAGTGTACAGACACATGAGTGATAGCACTTACGTGGCTGATGTACATATGACCACACGATACCACGAAAGCACACTGTTGGTAGGACCTCTTGTGAACTGGAGGTAGGACTCTTGTGAGTGGTGGTAGGACCTCTTGTGAGTCTGCACAGGTAGGTACCACCACCTCGCCTATTTCTGCTGTGAAGTAGTAATGCGTTTCGGTTTGAAGCACGGAGCAGCCGTTGTAACTATACTGAGACCTTAGAACTTATATCTCAAGGTGGGTGGCGCATTTACGTTGTAGACGTCTATGGGCTCCAGTGGCCACAACACAAGGTGGGCTGTGAGATCGTCCACCCATCTAAGCAATAGAAAAAAAAACAGGCTCATAAATCACCACTGCACTGTGCTTACCTGCCACAGAGAAATACACATCGGAATAATGTTTCAGCAAGAAGATCCTAACGGAACGTCCACAGCTGCAAGCGCCCCACGCCTTGGCGCTCTTCGAAGACCACATATACTATTTGGTGGGCGACTCGTACCGCCTCGGGCGCTGCCTGCTCCACGGCCCGAAGAACTGCGAGACCTACATCTACAGGGTGTTCGAAGCGAACACCTTCGTCATCAGACACGAGAGCATCCAGCGCGACGACCTGGTCAACGAGTGCGCCGCCCACGATTGCTCCAATGTGTGCGTGCTCGAGAAGGCTCCGGTGTGTGTCTGCGACGATGGGCACGTCCACGACGATGGGAACTGTGACCCCAGCAACAAAAACGAGGTAAGATTTTGGTAAATGACGGCTTAGTTATATAAATGTTTTTTTTAAGAGATTTTATGACCTGGTAACTAAGACTTTTAGGTCATGTCTTATTTTATTTTATATTCTTATTTTTATGAAAAATGATAATATGGGGTGAAATTAAATGAAATGACATGAGATGTTGGGATGAAATATAATCTCGGTAAAATGGTGGTCATTTACTGAGATTTTTTCAGTGGACTTTTTGGGAGGATCCTGAGAAGTTACGTCCAGCGGCTTTGTTTCATTTTCCCAAATTTTTGTGCACTTTCACAGATATTAAACAGTTAATAAACCACCGTTGTTACACAGTTAAACCGAAGAAACATTAAATAAACAAATTAAAGCAAATCAAACAATTCACTCCTCGCGTTCCCTCCAAAAAGTCAGTTATTTATGTAGAAACCATGGACACTAACTCTATGGTAGAAACGGATCGGAACAGTGTGGATGAGTGACAGATATGGAGCATGTCTGAGTGAGAGAGATAGGAGATGTCGTTTTAGGAAGTGAGAAAGACGGCGAATGAATGCGGAACATAGTTTTATTTTTAAAGCCAAAGGGGGGTAGTTTTGAAGTCGTCGTGGCCTAACGGATAAGACGTCCGGTGCATTCGTGTTGAGCGATGCACCGGTGTTCGAATCTCAGGCGGGTACCAATTTTTTTAATGAAATACGTAGTCAACAACTGTTCACGATTGACTTCTACGGTGAAGGAATAACATCGTGGAATAAGAATCAAACCCACAAAATTATAATTTGCGTAATTACTGGTGGTAGAACTTCTTGTGAGTCCGCGCGGGTAGGTACCACCACCCTGTCTATTTCTGCCGTGAAGCAGTAATGCGTTTCGGTTCGAAGGGTGGGTCAGCCGTTTTAACTATACTGAGACCTTAGAACTTATATCTCAAGGTGGGTGGCGCATTTACATCGTAGATGTCTATGGGCTCCAGTAACCACTTAACACCAGGTGGGCTGTCAGCTCGTCCACCCATCTAAGCAATAAAAATAAAAAAAGATATGGGGCATGACTGAGTGAGGAGAGAGAGATAGTGAGGTCGTGTTATGAAGTAAGAAAGACGGCGAATGAATGCAGAACACATAGTTTTATTTTTTAAGCGAGAGGAGGGTAGTTACTGGACGCGACGGCGGACAGACGCGGTGTAACTCTGAAGACGTAAGACGTTTATATTTTAGTTACATAGATTAAGAAAGACGTAATAAAAATCAAGTTTGTGTGAAGTCTAATGTGACGAACCATATGACATATTCTAGAATACCAATTTCTTGCCATATGTAACATTTTATGTGTTGTGTTAAAAATAATATGTTTAATTGCCATTGTAGACAAACGTGTTTACTGTCGCTAATGCCGGAAGCACAGCAAGTCGCTTACTATCACTCACTGAGTTTCTCGCCGGATCTTCTCAGTGGGTCGCGATTCCGATCCGGTGGTAGATTCTGCGAAGCCCTGCTCTTACTAGGACTAGTATTAACAAATTTTCTTAGGTTGAGCCCGAGAGCTCACCTACCCACCTGCCTGAAGTTAGATTGGCCCATATGCTACCAACGATTAGATAAGAAAAAAAAGCTCTCTACTGCCTGAAGTTAGATTGGCCCATATGCTACCAACGATTAAATAAGAAAAAAAAGCTCTCTACTGCCTGAAGTTGGATTGGCCCATATGCTACCAACGATTAGACAAGAAAAAAAAGCTCTCTACTTCGTGTCCGAGTACACTAATAATTCTCTCACTTAATTATTTTTGGTGTTAGGTCGATGTCTTCTTCTGGTGTTCTTAAATAACTAATAGACTATTTTTCCCTTAAGCTCCCCCTGTTCAACGGCTGGACGTACCAGGACTATCAGCGCGGTCACCGCGCCAGCATCACCGTCGTCATCGCGGTCCTCGTGCTGTTCCTCGTGTACATAGCACTGTTTGTATATTATCACTTCGTCTATAAGCCAAAGAGGAAGAGGTCCACGGCTTATACAGAGTGAGTTGAACTCTCTTAAACATTTTATGGTAGTTAGTTTTTTTTTATCATTCTCCCATTTGTTAGGGAGTTTTTTGGAACAAGAGCGTCTTTTGAAATGTGGATCATTTATCATACCATAATCCTTTTTAAGTATTTAGAATGTAGTTATAGCCTCTAGAATTATGAAGAACAGCTGTCAAGGCTATAGTAAACAAGGATTCCACATGACCACGACTTCTCTGCCAAGAGTAACAGACTATGATGATGATGATGATGATAGCCTTTATCAGGGCACGACTATGATAGGTATAATGAATCAGAAAGTTGAGTGATTACGGTACGTCTGGGTGACCAGTCTCTAGGGACACTGTGCACAGGCTTGGGGTACCGTTTTTTTTATACCAGTGTGCTTAGCGCGAGTTTTTTAACGTTCTCGATATCGTAAAAGTTAACTCAATTTTGTATGCAGTTGGAACAGCGCCCCTAGCGGCAAACGTAGGCAAACGATCCCATTCCATACAAATATGAGCTAAATTTTACGCTATCTAGAACTTTAAAAAACTCGCGCTAAGCCTACAGTATTCTTAATGAACGCAAAACAAACATTAGATTGTCAGACGAACATTCTGTGACATTTCTTCTTTAAAGCGACATTAGAACATTTTACTGGTGGAAGGACCTCTTGTAAGTCCGCGCGGGTAGGTACCATCACCCTGCTTATTTCTGCCGTGAAGCAGTAATGCGTTTCGGCTTGAAGGTTGGGGCAGTCGTTGTAATTATACTGAGACCTTAGAACTTATATCTTAAGGTGGGTGGCGCATTTACGTTGTAGATGGCTATGGGCTTCAGTAACCACTTACACCAGGTGGGTTGTGAGCTCGTCCACCCATCTAAGCAATTAAAAAAAAAGAATACTAAAACATATATGTAACTGCACAGATCTAAAGGCTGCCGATGTCGTTTTCAACATCGCGCAATCAGGAATGAATATTTTTTACACTTTTCACACAAGTAATATTAATATTGATGGTGGGGTTCCAGGGTGAGGTTCCAGAACAGCTCCGACGAAGCAGCGCAGTTGTCTTGCAGTCCGGCAGTCCAAATGAACGGAAATCAACTGTAAGATTATCTATGAATCTATACTAATATTATAAAGAGGAAAGATTTGTTTGTTTGTTTGTCTTGAATAGGCTCCGAAATTACTGAACCGATTTGAAAAATTCTTTCACTATTTGGAAGCTACACTATTCCCGAGTGACATAGACATATTTTTTTTGAAAAAAATTAGAGATTCTTACTAAAGCTCCAATAATGTAACACAAGGTGTAAAAAAATTACCTAGAATATTCTTTACATCGCGTGTCCTGCGAAAACTATTGATGATAAAATAAAATAATGTACTACGGCTTTGTAGAACACATTATTTTTACAAAGTGTCCCGACAGCATATGTCTAACTATTATAGTTATGCCGCAATAAGTGTTCTTTTATTTAAAAAATAAAACAACCTCAAATATCGTTGAAATTTTTGTTAAAGACCCGAGCGGAGCCGGAGCGGGCCGCTAGTAAATAATTGATGACTACACTCACTGAGTATTATTAAGGCATTACTGCTTCACGGCAGAAACAGGCAGGGTGGTGGTACCTACCCGTGCGGACTCACAAGACGTCCTACCACCAGTAATAAAAGACTCCTTACCACCAGTAATGCGTTAGAATAAATTAGAAATTAGAATAACATTGTATGATTAAAATCGACATGCAAAATTTATGAATTTGCCCGAATTGGTTGGTACCACCATGTTGCATATTTTCACCAAGAAGCAGTCGCGCTTTCTAGTTTAAAATGTGCAATAAATAACCTTTTTACAATTTCGGATTCGTGGCGAAATTTATATTGTGATTGCCTATGGGTTCCTGTCACCACTTAACAACAAATGGGCCGTGAATTTACGTACATCAATAAAAGAGTGTATCTTGTTTTCGCAGGATAAATGGTAACGAATTCGTGAACCCGCTTCAGTACGTGCGCAATGTGTGGCAACAATCGATCAGAAGGAAGCCACGTCCTGTTGTAAGTGTGCATTAAAAAATTTGTCCTATTTTCCATAGTTCAGAATCTTAAGATATATTAATTCAACAAGTGATAGATAATTTTATAGATACCTTAGTAATGTAATAAAGTAGATTTGACATGTTATAATAATATTTGAGTCGACTATTATCAAAGCCGGAAATGTGACTTTTGGACAATTATTGGTAAATCAGAAAAACGAATTATTGACTTTGTATTCCATTGGCAGTCACAAAACTCTTCTGAACGACATCTTAGATAAATAACAGGTTAACTATTAACCTTTATTTAATGCAGGTTTCGAACCGTATTCTTTGAAGGATACGATTATATTCAAATCAATCTGTATTGACATATCAATAAATTTTTTTTGTCCAAATGCACAGATTGCCACCTTTGATAATAGACGACTCATTTATAATCCAAACAATTTGTTTGAAGTAATAAAAAAATGTGATATAGGCATTGTATTTCACTATTTATTTTGCAGTGTACAGCTGGCCTGTCAATAGCAGTGCCTAACTCTCCACAGCAAGACTTCTCCGATACAGAGTCAGATCTAGACGATCGAGAAACTAAGAGGTTTATCCGCAAAAATAAATTTCTCAATTAACTTAAGTTACAGGAAATGTTGTTAAATTTTTTTGCTGAGCAAAAAGTGAATGGCATATTCCAAATTTTATATTTTAATCCTACTATTTAAGATTTAGATTAGGTTATGATATAGCATAACTAACTTCTAATTTGTTAAATTATTTTATTGTTTGAATGTTATCAACATAGTTTTTAATTGCTAAATTTTATATACATAAAATGTATCAATATTGTATTGATTGAATTTTGAAAATAAAACATTGATTTATATGAGAAAAAAAAAATCTTATTTATTCTAATGCATAATCTGAAATTCAAATAAAGAATTTGATCACTTCCAAAGTTTCTTGATGGACATATTCTTTTCAGAGTCTTTCTGCATGACTTTAGCGACAGCCATTTCAAAGTCCTCCTGAGTTACGTGCACTCGTCTCTCACGCAGAGCATACATTCCAGCTTCAGTACAAACACCCTTAACTTCAGCACCCGAAGCTCCTGGCATCAACTCTGCAATCTTACGTAAATTAATTCCTCGAGTCAGATTCATTTTTCTCGAGTGAATTTTGAGGATGTCCAAACGGGCCTCCTCATTTGGCGGAGGGAACTCAATTTTTCTATCAATACGACCGGGTCGGAGCAAAGCAGGGTCAAGGATATCAATTCTATTAGTTGCCATAATGACTTTGATGTTTTTCGTAGCTTCAAAACCATCAAGTTGATTCAGCAGCTCCAACATGGTTCTCTGAACTTCGGAGTCACCCCCACTTCCTGACTCAATCCTGGAAGACCCAATAGAGTCTATTTCGTCCATGAAAATGATTGAAGGAGCATGTTCTCTGGCCATTACGAAGAGCTCTCGCACCATTCTACTACCTTCTCCAATAAATTTCTGTACCAATTCTGATCCAGAAACACGTATGAAAGTGCACTCAGTGTGGTGGGCGACAGCACGAGCTAATAATGTCTTTCCAGTGCCCGGAGGCCCATACAGTAAGACTCCTTTTGGTTGCGCAATCCCAAGGGCATCAAACAGCTCTGGGTGCTTCACAGGCAACTCAATCACCTCTTTGATCTCCTTGATTTGTTTGTCTAGACCACCTACCATTTCGTAAGTAGAATCCGGCACTTTCTCGACCATCATGAGCGACACAAGAGGATCGACTTTGTTGGGTAGTATTTTGTGTAAGGTATAGCTTTCGTTGCGAAGAGCGACACGACAATTGGCCGTGACATCGTTAATATCAACGTTCTTGTCTAAATCGACGACAAATTTACCTTCGGGATGCACTTTTACAAGGACCTTCTTTTTATCCATCGGTTTAACCACTTCTCCGACGTACGATCCCTGTTCTTGCAAGAGCTGCAGCTCCTCGCGTAGCATACGAACTTTAGCGTTGAGTTCATTACGCTGGGCTTGAAGACGACGAAGATTTTGAGATTTTTCGGCGACAATGAGCTGTAACTCTTCAATCTTGGTTATGTAGTACGGGCGAAAACCCTCACCCTTCACCGTGTCCACTTCCATTTTAGTCGTGAGAGTCATATTGCGTTACTGACTCTCACATGAATTATAAATAATGAATGTTAGATTTTAACTCTCAAAAATGCAGAACAACACAACGCCAATTTCCCGAGTCATTCACGATGACGTTTTTGAAGTATTGAATATTTTTTAGTTTGATTTGTCAAAGAGATGTGCAAAAGGGTCGTCGTCTATACAGTCATACCTTTTGTATGCTGAAGCAAACTCGGTTGTACAAAAAAGTAAAATTTTGCCGTTTAAGGCATTGAATTATATTAGGAAATTTTAAGATTATATTAGATAAGTAGAACTATATTAGGTAAGACAACATTCTACATATTGTATGATAAGCAGTTAAATACCTTCTGAGTATAATGATAAGTTTTTACGGAGATTGAAATCTCACTTTTCAGAAGAATCTGAGAAATTGCCACCTCTCTTGAACCAAAATGCTGGTGATGACAAAATACATGCATCAGATTGTCTTTATTTCTCGATTTTTCGATTAGATCGAGTTCGATTAGGTCGATTAGATTGAGTATCTGAACGAATTTATAAATTTGATGTTGCATTTCTTACGAACACTAACGTAATCTCTTGATTACAGAAATTAAATAATCAACATACATTTTCTTACGCCTCATCTACACATTAAGACAAAAACATACTAGTATACAAATACGAATTTATGAAATTTAATATACTTATGCGATTCATTAAAACATTAAAAACTTTCTTATAACTGACTCAAACGATTGTCTATTATCAACCAAAACGTCAGTTATCTAACGTCCAAAATGCATAATTAAAAAAATTTAATAAAAATGAAATGGAAATTACACAAAAGACTCGATCGAAATGTGTAAAATATCAACACTGGCTCTTTTCATATGCGGCCCAATAATATACAAACTGTTATGGTTCATTCGTATGGGAACTTTGATCCACTGGAGCTATATCATCGGCTCCGCAATATACCCTAAAAATACTAACGGATGCATTGCATTGAGCGCGAGTTGTTTTGCATTCGTGATCATCGGGAGTGTTCTTCCGACGCGTATGTTTCCTAAATTAAAACTAATCGCTACAATACTAAGTGTGCCCCCACAAATTCACATGTTGGTACTACTGCATAGGAGTGTGGCGACACGAATCGAAAATGAAACTTTAACGAAGGCAATACGAGCGTATAGCGGATTGACTTTAGCATCAACAGTTTGGACGGTTGTGTCTTTGATGCGATATTGATGAAAATATGTGAGTGAAATGAAAAAAAGGAATTAAAATTTTAAACGTCTTTGCCAATATTTTTTTTTATTACTTAGAAGATGGGTGAACCAGCTCACAGCCCACCTGGTGTTAAGTGGTTACTGGAGCCCATTGACATTTACAACGTAAATACGCCACCCACCTTGAGATATAAGTTCTAAGGTCCTAGTTACAACGGCTGCCCCACCCTTCAAACCGAAACGCATTACTGTTTCACGATAAATACAGGCAGGGTGGTGGTAGCTACCCGCGCGGACTCTCGAGAGGTCATACCTCCAGTAGAAAAAGAATGTTGTGGGTAAATTTGCGTTTGGGTGTGAATTATCTTCCTCTGAGACAGTGATTTCTGTAAAAAACCTACCGCTTAGAATCTTTTGTCTCTAAAGCAATCTTTAAGTTAACTGACTGGATAGTAACTGCGGAAAATTAAAAACACAGTGGATATTTAATGCTGGTATTTTCTTATTTAAAAAAGTCCTTCATTTGGATAAACGATTTTATGGTAGTTTCGTTGTATCATTTTTAGTAGTTTTGTAACCAAAAAACTTGGCAATTGGTAAGTGATGAATGAGTTTAGTCTATGGTAAGTTTTTTTTATTTGGCTATATGGATGGACAAGCTCACAGCCCACCTAGTGTTAAGTGGTTACCGAAGTACATAGACATGTATAACTTAAAGGCCGCCACTCTGAGATATAAGTTCTAAGGTCTCAGGTATAGTCGGCTGCCCCACCCTTCAAAGCGAAACGCATTACTACTTCACGATAGATACAGGCAGGGTGGTGGTAGCTACCAGTGCGGATTCACAAGAGGTCCTACCACCAGTCCATAAACTCGATAGGCCTTTGAAGAGTTTGTTGGCTTCCGGACATCTGAGTTCTTCAAGAAGGGCATTGAAAATTTACCACCACGCTGGTAGAGAGGCATCGATACTATGGGTGCATATCGACGCCTGAAAAGCAAACGTGACTAAGCGACAATAACTGCTTTGTACATAAATGATAGCCATTAACCATATTCGATGCGCAAAAAATATATATTTTTAGGTCTATTAAAATCATTTCAATCCTACAGGTAGATTCGTTAAAATAGAGTTTTTTTCAGGTATTTCAACTTTATATTAGTCTACTGTAAAGTTCACGCATTGTCGCTTAGTCACGTTTGCCTTTCAAGCGTTGATATTTAGATTGAAAGACAAAAATAAATTTTCCTGAGATATACCTGTTCAAAATCCCTTCGTTTCTGTGTCTGTTGAGCAACTCAAGGCATACCTTAACGGGTTCATCGCCCTCGCAATCGTTCAGTTCGTGCGACACCCATTTATTAGGTCTTTTACCTTGACAATGTGACGCAAATGGACCAACATTGTTTTGATGCTAATGTTAAAAGCTGCTGGTAACTTCAACCCTCAGACACAGCCCACTGAGTTTCTCGCCAGATCTTCACAGTGGGTCGCGTTTCCGATCCGGTGGTAGATTCTGCGAAGCACGGCTCTTGCTAGGGTTCGTGTTAGCAACTTCGTCAGGTTTGAGCCCCGTGAGCTCACCTACTAGTTAAGGTTCCGCTGGAATAGCCTCTCTAGGCTACCAGCTTAGGTAGGAAAAAAAAAAAACATTTTCTTTTTTTTGACAATTAAAAGTATTGCTTTAAAAACCGACGCAGGCGTTAGCATATTTAAACCGCCATAAAATAAATATGATACATTTTCTTTCATATCGCCTCAAACATTTTGTTCGAGGGAGTGATCGATGTAAAATCATTCCTTTACCGCAGGACCAGAATTGAATTCTGTTATGCAATTTGGCAAAAAAAGGTATTAAATTAAATACGAAAAAGTTTCAATTCCTTCAAGAATAATTAATCACATTGTTAATTTATTTCTCGTTTTTTTTTTTATTGTTTATATGGTTGGAAAAGCTCACAGCCCATCTGGTGTTAAGTGGTTACCGGAGCCAATAGACATCTACAACGTAAATGCGCCACCCACCTTGAGATATAAGTTTTTAGGTCTCAGTATAGTTACAACGGCCCCACCCTTCAAACCGAAACGCATTACTGCTTCACGGCAGAAATGGGTAGAGTGGTGGTACCTACCCGTGCGGATTCACAAGAAGTCCTAGTACCAGTAATTACGCAAACTATAATATTGCGGGTTTCCTTTTGATTATGTACTAACGAAATTATTTTAATTATAACCTTTAAGGACATCCAAGCTTAACCGTTAGCTGCGACGTTGTGTGAAAGTGAATTGAACGAATAAATAAATGGAATCTTCATTTAAATAGCTTGCTCTCAAGTTTTTTTTTTTAAACGCATGCTGTACTATATTTATAATATCGTTAAGTGTGCTTAGTGCGAGTTTTTTAACGTTCTCGATAGCGTAAAAGTTAACTCAAATTTGTATAGAATCGGATCGTTTGCCGCTAGGGGCGCTGTTTCAACTGCATACAAAATTGGGTTAACTTTTACGCTATCGAGAATGTTAAAAAACTCGCACTAAGTACACTGGTGTACACTACACAATTTAATTAGTACGCACTGCATGTGTAAGTTCACTGGCGCTTTTTCGTTTGGACGCTGCGCTTCGGAGCCCAGTGAGTTTCTCAGCGGATTTGCTAAGTGGGTAGCATTTTCGGATCCGGTAAGAAATATAGCGAAGTACTACTGCTCTTGCTAGAGCAAATGTTTATAAAATTTTGGACCTTATCATACTAGCGAATTGCGAGGGTTCTTAAAGCGGAGTGGACGCGCAACGAATTCGCTGTGCATGCGATTATAAAAGTGTTTTAATAGATTAAACGACATGCGACTATTTATTCGCATGTGAGCGCGCATTGTATATGAAGTAATTTGGACGAATTCGCTATGAATGCGCGGTGTGTGTTCGTAGCGCGCTCGCTCAGCTGCAAAATTGATTCAGATACAATGCGCGCTCACATGCTAGTATTTTTTTGATGGAAGTTGGAATATTTTTGTCATTAGGAAGCCTTGGGAGATTGGGTGGTGGAAAAACATGTTACTTCATTTAAAATAACCCAGTAGAGTACATTTATTATCTCCAGAGCAAAATAAACTTGTATAAAATTGAATACACATCATTCAATCAATCACATCAACGGCGTACATAAAATAAAAAATTTCAAGGTCACGGCTCTAATGTACTATCGAAACTAAAATGTATTAGTAAAAATTAAAAAGAGTAGTAACTTCATTCGTGAATGTTTTAACAGCACTGGAATAAGCAAAAAAACTTTTAAACAATCAATTGCCAAAGAAATGTAACCGCAACATAAAATCCAATGAACCAGTCAGTCAATATAAAAACAGCAATCGACCGAAATATACAACAGTACATTTGTGGTGTTTTCAATAACAATTAATGTCAACATGTAAATTCAATTTCATTACATCAAAGTAAGTTAGTCTCGTGATCTATGCAATGTTTACAGACCGNAAAAAACTTTTAAACAATCAATTGCCAAAGAAATGTAACCGCAACATAAAATCCAATGAACCAGTCAGTCAATATAAAAACAGCAATCGACCGAAATATACAACAGTACATTTGTGGTGTTTTCAATAACAATTAATGTCAACATGTAAATTCAATTTCATTACATCAAAGTAAGTTAGTCTCGTGATCTATGCAATGTTTACAGACCGATCCACGGTAATGAACAGTCATGAATGAATGAAATTTACCAAACGTGTGAACCTGGAGAGCGGCTATGTTATTTTTTATTTTCTAAAATCGAAACATACACTAACACATTGATATATTTACAGTAATGAATTGTATGTGGAGAAAGAATGAGAAATCAATAAACTTTCGAGTGAAATAAAGCATAAATATTTGGGTTCCATACAAAGTGGTTTATTTCCAGGCGTAAAAAAATTGCCGCGATAAGGCGGCCAGTCGTGAGTTGTAACGACCCGACGTTTGACGCGAGTCGTGTTTGAATTTGCGTCTACGTAAATCACTGTACACTTTCAACAAAATTAGGAAAAAAATATTTTTGACGTCATTGACGTTGACAGGTAACCAATCATTCAAAATAAGTTATTTCCAACAATTTTTATTTTGGTATTCCTTACATTCCCAATAATATTGAGAACAGTTAAATATTGTTAAAATTTAAAAAAAACAAAAACCAATATTGTTTAAAGCAGTAAAGTGAATATGTTAATAGATAAAATATGTGTAAAAAAGAATACGATCGATAAAACATTAGTGCAGTGTTTTTTTGAAAAGTTTTGTTGTTATCTAATTTTAAGTTTTAAGGTAAACAGATGGTCAATTGAAATATAATGATTTTAATTAGGTTTATTCCGGATGAATAATTTAGTGCCAATGTTTTCCTGCTATCATCTCACTTATGGATCGCTTAAGGTCCTTTTGTGACATTGTCATAATATTCTCATATAGGAAGTTCAGTGATAGCGGAAGACTTTAATACCGCCAATGTGTCTGTCATGAATATAAACATCTTGTGAAACTTATGCACAATTTACAACTGGCACTGTCCAATAAATTGTATTTTTTTATGAAGTTAAAATATCGGCTTCAGCAAATTTTTGAAACAATTTTTTTAAGAATTTCGACAGTTATTAAATGGAATGTGAAATGAAATAGGTATCTGTCGAAAAATGTACGAAGCAGTTCCAAATTTTTTTTTAATAATTTTGTTTTTTAAGATACAAATTAGTGATGTAAGATATAAGTTATTAAATAAATTATTTAAATAAATAATGGATGCTCAAAAATTAAAAAGCTGCACTATACAAATTGACTGAAAAAAGGCTTGTCATTCACTTTTTTTCAATTTTATGATCATCGTCAGTGACTATGGTGGTACTAATTAATATGGGAAAATAATGTTCAATTATGCTATGTATAATACCTTAATATCAATATATTCTACAGAATGGGTAACACAAGCAAGAAACTAGCAGCAAAATGCACTTTATTGACGAAAGATGAACAGAAGCATGTTGCAGCCACATTCAGGGCAGCCAGTAAGAATTCGGAGAGGATACGGGAGGATGATCTCATCGTGAGTGGAAAAGTAGATGCAGTGTCATTAGAAGTGTGTTCATTTTATTTGTTTTCATTTTTATTTAATTTTTTGGTAATGAGATACAGTTCTATTAAATTTTACCCTCAACACTCTAAAGTTATCATATAAAACTCACTATTTCAGCTATAAATAAAATGTCAATATTAGTTTTTTTTAAACATCTACCAAACAATATTTAGATATAGAGATTATACTTAATACAATAGAAGTTATTTGTTCAAAATTAAAATTGAGCACGACCATATTCCAATTATATTCTATTCTTTAATTAAATCATTTAATGGCAGATGATTCTTGTTTGCAGTATCTCATTACCTCAAAAATATAATTTTGATTTGTTGGTTTTTAATGCACTAGAAAAAATAAATGGCAATTTTCTCAAATCCTAGAAATATCACTATGCAAATTTTAATGTTACAATATGTAATATCCTAGACACTAAATTGGCCGTGAGAAGATTAATCAATTATGAAATAAGTCTAAAAAAATTTTTTTTTTTTTTGTCTAGTGCATATGAAACTATATTCTGAGTTGATTCATTTTAAATTCAAAAATGAAAATCTAAGATGCAGTAGAAAAAAAATACTAACCTAAAATAGATAATTCCATATTATCTATGCTGCAATTTCTTAAAAAAAAATTTTTTTAAAATGAATGAACTCACATTATTACTTCTTAGAATTTGTGTTAATTCCTTTTCAGTTGATTTGCACTATCATTTATAATTTTTCCACTGTCTTTAGTAACCCGGGTTATGGTTCACGTACTGTTTAGTTAATTTTGTTCATTAGCGTTGTCATTTTTTTCTAATAGTTTTTGTTTTGTTTTAAAACTGTTTTTGCACCATAGAGTTATTAATAGATTTTCGGCCTGTATGTTATTCATTTAGATTAGACTTAGTGTTTTTATTTTATTTTGATTCTTTTTTCTTCAAATTTTAAAATTGTATTTAGATTTTTTTTTATGCGCTTTAAAAAGAAATTGTGCCATCAGCTTAGTAATTGACTTTTGCGCATCTTAGGAATAACAGCCAAGGTAATTATTAAGCACGAGACTTATAGCAGCAGGTTCTATGTACATCAATATACATATATCCCTATACCTTCTGAACTATTTAATTAATCTAAAATGGGTAAATAATTTGAGTTTCGACGCGTCTACTCGCTGCTGGTAGGTCGTCTCGCATAGTTTAGGAATGCGGTTGAAAAAATTTTCAATAGCCAATTTGTGAAGATTTGTCGAGGTCTAGTTCCATATTAAATAATGTAGAAAATTATATTTTGAAGACATGTGTTTTTTTAAATAAAATTATCATGACCGAAATTTAGAAGTTACAAGTCACCATGTCAAACTATTGCTATCAATCATCATCATCATCGTTCTTCATGACTTAGCGTCTTGTTCTCCTCGGTGAAGTTCTGCGCCTGGTCTCGGCAAGATTGTCGGGATTTAGCTTCATTTAATCGAAGCTGGGAAGCTGGTAGCTGTGGTCTATTTAATGGTATCCCTTCAGGTCGGCTATCATCCACGGCTCCTTCCTTAAACTTTTCATGTGGCTTCAAACTCAAACTACTATGTATTTTACTGGTGGTAGGACCTCTTGTGAGGCCGCGCGGGCAGGGACCACCACCCTGCCTATTTCTGCCGTGAAGCAGTAATGCGTTCAGCTTGAACGGAGGGGCAGCCGTTGTAACTATACTGAGACCTTAGAATTGATATCTCAAGGTGGGTGGCGCATTTACGTTGTAGATGTCTATGGGCTCCAGTAACCACTTAACACCAGGTGGGCTGTGAGCTCGTCCACACATCCAAGCAATAAAAAAAAATATTTTATTTAAAATATCGATGGTTCTTGCCTCAAGATCTGAAATTCTCGCAGCAGGTTTTCGTTCGTATTAATATAACTATCAAACCCTTTCGATATTTCCACATAATACCCGATACGATCTTTCTGGATGGTTCTATTCGNGCTCCAGTAACCACTTAACACCAGGTGGGCTGTGAGCTCGTCCACACATCCAAGCAATAAAAAAAAATATTTTATTTAAAATATCGATGGTTCTTGCCTCAAGATCTGAAATTCTCGCAGCAGGTTTTCGTTCGTATTAATATAACTATCAAACCCTTTCGATATTTCCACATAATACCCGATACGATCTTTCTGGATGGTTCTATTCGGATTTAATCTGTCTCCTACTAAATAGCATTTTATTGGGCGATTTAAATATCATGGTAGAGCGATCTAGCTTCTGACGTCACGGAGATAAACGGCTAGCCCCATGACAGACTCCACGGAAACCACAGCGGCATTGTTCGATGCTCACGATACTACCCCTATTTCAGAATAAATGGTTACTTTGCGGAATTTTCTTAATCAATAAAAAGATTAAACCTAATTCTATGCTATCTAATGATATCTTATCGTGATTTTGTGAGTTTGCGTTACTAGGGCTAGTAGCATCTAGCTATCTGTTTTGTCTGAGCGAGCCGAGCATAGGTGAGCGTGCTAACGTCCCACCTAGTGTTAATAGGTCATCGGAGCTCATAGATGTAAACACCGCAACTTACATTAAGACACAGGTTGAAGTGTCATTTGCATCGTATAAACCCACCCTTAGGGTGCCTGTCCACCGGAGCGGAGAAACGGAGAAATATTAACCAATAAGATTGCACGAAATCAAAATAATAAGATTAGATTTAGATTAGATTAGATAGAGATTAGATTAGATTTTGTGCAATCTTATTGGTTAATATTTCTTCGTTTCACGAACTCCGCTCCGGTCGACACTCACCCTTAAAATTGGCAATGTATAAATAGGCGGGTTGACGATGCCTGCCCGTGCAAGCTTACAATACCCGCTGCCACCCGACAATGATATTTCATTCGCGAATCAGCTGCTCTTGAGTGGTTAGGTGTCCTTCGGAGGCGCTCGGGCAGCTATTAGCAAATCACACCCCTCCTGGCTGAGTCTTTGCTCGCCCACCTGTCCCGGTGAAACTGGAAAGGCCTCCGGGCCACCAGTAATCCTTCAATCCTAAAAAAATAACAATTATTTTCACCTTATCATCCTATTCTTTCATCCTTACGTCACAATGAGTCGAGCAACTACAAAATGGCCGCCTGTCAAACGTGTAATTAGTAGGTAACTGATGAACCACGAAAGTGTGTAACGAGTCACAAGCGCTAAGCGGGAAACGCGGTATTTATATTCAACAGATTATTTTAATTACACTACAATTGTACGACCGATAAAATCATTTAGCTATACTAAATCGATAAGACGTTGTGTCTGTAATTAACAGATTTCAAATGGGAAAGTAGAAGGTTCTCGATTCGGGGTGTATGTTTTGTTAAGATACATTAAATTTCAGAGAGTAAATTGTTTATCTATATATATCAAAGAAAGTCGTGTTAGTTACACTATTTATAACTCAAGAACGACTGAACTGATGTGGCTGAAAATTGGTGAAAAGGTAGCTTAGAACCAGGAGAAGGACATAGGATACTTTTTATCACGTTCCCGTGGGACGTGGCATAAAACGTGGTATAACAAAACGCAACTGATATGGAATAACAAAACGCAACTGACAGCTAAACGTAATATATTCTATGGTTAATTGTGTTAATTATAGTAGAATTTTGAAGTTGACCGGTTGATGTGTTTGAAACAAACCGTGTGGCGGAACAAAGTTCGCCGGGTCCACTAGTTTAGTTACATTATATAATTTAGAGTAATTTAGGCGTAAAATTATAAATTGTCCAAAATCACGTATTTAAATTGCATTAATAAATCCAAACATAATAATTGTGGACGTCGGGACAACGAATAAAATAAAATTTCGATAGTTTTTACGTTCATTATGAAATACAAAAATACATATTGAACAATGCCGTGTTAAATTAAGAATGTTCTGGTAATTTAAACACCTTATTTTTTTGATATGTAACGAATACTTCAATTTCCCGTGAAGACCGGTGTGCTAGTGTTAAACTCATTACGAATCGCTTTTAGAAAACGCCTAATGTATCAAATATTTGTATAGATACAGGTGCTATTCTAACACTCGAATTGAAGTGCCCAGAAAGTATTAATATTATATTTTTGTATCACGGTGATTCTAGTCAGGACATTAGTTATCGATCCTTGATACGTGCGCAAATAGTCAAGATAATCGAAAATCGAACGTGAAAAATCCGTTGAAGGACTCAGTTTTTTAAATATAAACGAAAGGGAAGGTAATAAAAGAGCTTAATCATGTATCAAAAATCGCTCACACCCATGACATGTTCCACACAACGTGACTTCATATAGGGTGTATTTGGACGTTCCAAAAATATTGTTTAACGTGTTTTTTTACGCAACAAGAAATGTAGCATGATAAAACTTCAAAAAGAAAACATGTCGATTCAATTACTTTTCTGTAACGTTGCTGATTCGTCAAAAACTCACTGATTACAACAAGTATCAGTGGTTAGTTTCATGTATATGGTTTTCTGAAGGCGCCTGTCCAAGCTTGGCCCTGATGCACTGGGCTGAGGGTATTGTGATGAGGAGTAAAGGAACCTAATAGTACTGTGTGTCAGTTGGGCCTTGCACAGACGAAAGAGACTCCTCGTAATGTCTGTCCAAGAAGGGTGGCCCCTGACGCTCCGGACTGCCTGGTATTGTGAGGAGGAGTAAGGAACCTATTAGTACTGTGTGTCAGTTGGGCCTTGCACAGACGAAAGAGACTCCTCGTAAAGTCTGTCCAAGAAGGGTGGACCCTGACGCTTCGGGCTGCTGGTATTGTGATGAGGAGTAAAGGAACCTAATAGAACTGTGTGTCAGTTGGGCCTTGGACAGACAAAAGAGACTCCTCGTAAAGTCTATCCAAGAAGGGTGGACCCTGACGCCCCAGGCTGCTGGTATTGTGATGAAGAGTAAAGGAACCTAGTATAACTGTGTGGCAGTTGGGCCTTAGACAGATGAAAGAGACTCCTCGTAAAGTCTGTCCCAAGAAGGGTGGCC